AAAATAAAAATGTGGTCTTTGGGGCATGGCAAATCCCCCTCCCTTCAACCACTGATGATGTTATTTAGTTGGGTCACGAAACGTCTGCAGAAAACCAAGCAAGCTCAGAGAGCACCAAGGACCCCACAGTCCTCCTCCTCCTCCCTTCTAGCACTGATGATGTTCCCTCGTTGGGTCATGAAATAGAATAGAATAGAATTTTTTTATTGGCCAAGTATGATTGGACACACAAGGAATTTGTCTTGGGTGCATATACATAAAAAGAAAAGATATGTTCAGCAAGAATCATAAGGTACAACACTTAATGAGAGTCATAGGGAACAAATAAGCAATCAGGAAACCATATCAATATAAATCGTAAGGATACTATGTCTGCAAGAACACTACCAAGAGCACCCACATTCCCCTTCTTCCTCCTCCTCCTCCTCTCTGCAAACCCCTCCTCCCTTTTATCACTGATGATGTTACTTAGTTGGGTCACGAAACGTCTGCAGGAAAACAAACAAGCACAGGAAGCCTCCACAGTGGAAGATGGTGCTCCCAGAGACTTGCGTGGCCCCTTCACTCCCCGTTTCAGGAAAGCACTTAAAACCTGAGGCCCAGTTGGGGCATTTTCCACTCGATGGGCGGGAGAATCCCTTTCAGATATAGCTTTTAGGACGGGGGTGTCCAGCCTTGGCAACTTTTAGGACCTGTGGACTTCAACTCCCAGAATTCCTCAGCCAGCAGAGCTGGGAGTTGAAGTCCACAGGTTTTAGATTGGACACCCCTGGCCTAAACTGAATCAAATGTAAACCTGTGCCCACAGGGTTTGGGACAACAACCTCCAGTGTTCCCCTGACCCACATCCATTTTTCTTAACCTCCCCAAAGACACGCTTTTAAGACCTTCAGCATTTTGTCCCAGTAGGACTTGATATTTCTGTTGCCCTACCTGGGGCTTTCTGGGAGGGGGAAGGACCCACCTGGGGAGCGCCCCCTTGGGAAGAGTACCTGGCATATGCAGCCCACCTGGTCATCAGCTCTTCATCCCATCCTACCTTTTACTTCAAGACCTCTCTTGCAGCGCCTGTGAAGGCGGCTTGGGCCCTGCCGTTTCCGTGCAGTCGGTCGTCTCTTCAGAGCCACCGATGACCATCTGCACCTGTTCCTGCTTTAAAAGGGGTGGGGGTTTTTGGTAATGCAGTAACCCCTAACTTGGTTCAGGATGCTGCTGCTGGCTCCAAGGAACCGAGGGTGTGTTTGTGTGCCACCTGACCGGCCCCATCTTAGTGCCCGGGCACGCCACCGAGGAGACTATCAGAAGCCCTTGCCATTGTTTGAAATTGCACATTGAGGTTTGTGGGCATTTAAATAAGCCTGGAAGGTATCCCAACAAGAAGGGAAATGTCCCTACAGATAGACCTCGACTTATAAGAGTTCTTTTAGTGACCATTCAAAATTACAATGCCCCCCCCCCAAAAAGGGGGGACTTCACATGACCATTGCAGCATCCCCTGATCAAAATTCAGATGTCAGGTTTCGGTGCTATCTTAAATAAGCTTCATTTTCAAGCGCAAAGTCTCTAATGAATCACTTTTATTTAAGAACAGAAAAAACCGACATTCCTGATTCAAGTTGCAGCCAAACTGGCTCCTCCTTCCAACCCCCTCCTCTTCCCCTCTCCAACCCCAATGTCCCATTGGCCATCATGCAGATCCATCTCTACGTCCCGGCACGTTCTTTTCACAGGAATGTGGCCCCCACCCTCGTCCCCCAGGAAACACTATCTGTTGAATACAAAAAACTAGGTAAAAGTTCATCTCAGCAATAAATCAACGCTTCTGGTCTTTGCTTCATCTCGTTCATGTCAGAGCTGGAAGAGGGCCTAATTTGGAACACTGACATCAGATGCTTGGCAACTGGCATGAACTTAGGATGCTTGCAGTGTCCCAGATCATGTGATCTCCGTCTGCAACCTGACAAGCGCAGTCAGCGGGGAAGCCAGATTCATTTAACAACTGGGTTACTAACTTAACAACTGCAGTGATTCGCTTAACAACCGTGACGAGAAAAGTCATCCAATGGGGCAAAACTCACCTAACAAATGTCTCTCTTAAACAATAGAAATTTTGGCTTCAATTTTGGCCATAAGTTGAAGACTTTCTGAACCTTGTAATTTTTTTCCCGATCAATTTTTATTTTGTTCAACAGATTAAAATACAAAATCCAAAACAAGGGACAAAACCAAACCAAAACATTAATAATGGGAATTTTAAAAAGACCAGCCTTTATCCCCCCTAGTTGAACGCTGGAAAATCTGTTGCAACAATTAATAGCTTCCCCCTCTTCCCCCTTGCAAAGCAGGTCCAAAATTTATAAGCCTCTATTTTCTGTTGTGGGATTCTGAATCTGGTTTAGAGAGCAGCCTAGAAGTAGAAAACTTCCTTGAACAAATTCGAAACGGAAGAAATGCCACCCGGTGGAAACAGCCCCTAACCCCAGGATAGATCAATCTCTCTGAAGAAAACCTGTGATAGTCCTTCCTCTCCCCCTCCAGCCCCCCAAGTGCCGGCCTTACTTCCCAATGAGGATGCTGGGAGGTAGCCAGATCACCCGAGGTTTGTGATTCCAACACCCTCCACCCCCGGTGAAGAGCTACCTACGAGACGTTCCCTTCTGTAGCCATTTGAAACCCATATTCATTCACACGACAAGCAGGTGCTGGCTTAAAGGAAACGGCAGACGATGGGCGAACGTCTGCCCCATGGAGCCTCCAGGGTTGGAGAATACTCTATAAACAAGGATGGGTGCAACCAGATGCGCCATGGGATACGCTCAGGAAGGGTTGAAGAGCAATATATAAATCCTGCATACTGGGACACCGTGTCATGTGCAAAAAAACCCATCTTTGCTGCCATGAGATGTGCTTGGATGTTTCGCTGTTTAATTGCAAGCCTCTGCCTCATTCTTTCTCCATCACTGAAATAAGGGAACAGGGCCGAGTGGGAACTTTATGACCTCTTTGACTTCAACTCCCAGAATTCCTGAGACAGCAGGAATTCTGGGAGTTGAAGTCCAAAGGCCAAGTTGCCCATTTGTGGCCTAGAAACAGGTCGGGCTAGAAAATATATTTCTATTTATAGAATATCTATTCAGGGAACAGAAAATAAATTTCTTAACTATTTCTAGGTTCAAACCTTTCCCGTGCACCGATGATGATACTTGCATAATGGCAAACATTCAATGGCAAAAATGTACTGGATAGAATAGGAGCAGGAAGGGACCTTGGAGGTCTTTTAGTCTAACCGCCTGCCGAAGCAAGAGACCCCATACCATTCCAGTCTCTTCTTAAAAACCTCCAGTGATGGTTTTTAAAAAGAGATCGAAGAGTCATTTGTCTGAAATGGTATAGATCTCCTGCTTGAGCAGGAGGCCCCTTTCAAGAGGAGCCTGGTGGCGCAGTGGACTAAGTGCTGTTAAAGTAGCACTTAGTTGCCAGCTGCCTGCAATTACTGCAAGTTCGAATCTCACCAGGCTCAGCCTTCCATCCTTCCGAGGTAGGTAAAATGAGGACCCGGATTGTGGGGGCAATAAGCTGACTTGTATAAAAAAAGAACACCACTTAGGGGGGACCAAAAGCCCTACTAAGCAGGTATGTACAAAAGTATGAAGGCTATTGCTTAATGCATTGTAAGCCACCCTGAGTCTCCGGAGAAGGGCGGCATATAAATCAAACTAATAATAATAACTCTGGAGATGTTCTATGTTATAAATTGCATAAAGAGGAGCTGAAGCTGCTCCGGTCAGTCCCTGTTACAAAGGTTTAATTGAAGATGGACTGCCTAAAACTTTCCAGCTCTCCTTTGAACCACAGCTCTGGGCTGCTCCACCCAGTTCCCTGCAGGTTTGGGAGCCCACGCAACTTAATCCCTGCTGCAGACCTCCAATTCAATCAGAGTAGGCTGGAAGGGACCTTGGAGATCATCTAGTCCAACCCCTGCTCAAGCAGGAGACCCAAGTGGCTGTCACAGTTTATTCTTGAAAACCTCCAGTGATGCAGTATCCACAACTTCTGGTGGCAAGTTGTACGGTACTGATTAATTGTTCCTAAATTCCAGGTTGGATCTCTAATGATATTCTACCCTACTGCTTCTCCAGCATACAATATGGAATAACCGAGTTGGAAGGGACCTTGGATCGGATGTCTTCTAGTCAGGCAGGAGACCTTATGCCATCGCAGTCCAATGGTTGACCAGTCTCTTCTTAAAAACTTCCAGTGTTGGAGCAGTCGCAACTTCTGGTGGCAAGCTGTTCCACGGGTTAATTGTTTTCATTGTCAGGAAGTTTCTCCTTAGTTCCAGGTTGCTTCTCTCCTTGATCAGTTTCCATCCATTGTTTCCTGTCCTGCCTTCAGGTGCTTTGGAGAATAGCTTGACTCCCCCTCTTCTTTGGGGCAGCCCCTCAAATCTTGGAAAACCGTTATCGTGTCTCCACTGGTCCTTTTCATTAAACTAGACAGACCCAGTTCCTCCACGGCCCGATCCTCCTCTGCAGTTGGGGACATAGCTGGGAAGGGGATTTGCAAAGGGGCTTGCACGACCCTCTGCTGCAATGCAGAGCCCCCTCCCGCCCCCCGCCCGGGGCTGTCCTGCCCACCGTTCCCGAAGGAGGCTGAAGCCGCTTCAGCCATGGATGGGCATTTGCAGGAGAAAGAGACACCAGAGCAAGCGGACTTCTCGGGGACTTAAACCCAATGTTTGTCAATCTGGCCACTTTTAAGATAGGTGGACTTCAACTCCCAGAATTCCCCAGCCAGCTTTGCTGGCTGGGGAATTCTGGGAGTTGAAGTCCACGCCGCTGCCCCGTATCCCGCTCTCTTTTGCTCTCCGATGGCCCCCACCTCCGGGAAAGGGGCGTGGCCCCGGCGAGGCGGAGACGGACTCCTCTCACGATTGGGTGGCCTCCAGCCAATGGCGAGCGGGCGCCGTCTTCCGGCCGTCCAATCAGGGGGCGAGCGGGAATTCGGCGCGCGGGCGACTCAAAGAGCGCCGGGATGGGCGACCGGGAAGTGCGGCGTAAGTGCTCGTCGGGGGCGGCGGCGGAGGGAGTACTACAAATCCCATCCTCCGCGGCCACTCCACCCCCCCTCCGATCCCCTCGCTTCTCCCGTCCTGGCCGCGGGAGACCCATGCTCCACGGCCAGCGGGGCGCCCTGGATGATGGGTGCTGGACTCCCTGGCCGCTGGAGGGCTCCTGGGTTGGGGAGAGAAGCGGGAAAGCGGCCTCGGCAAAAAGGGAGCCTTCTTTTGGCCCGTGGGAGGGAGGGAGGGAGGGAGGGAGCTCCTGCGGTGGTTCCATGGGGTCCCCCCAGAGGTCCTCTAGTCGGACCCTTGCAGGTGGAGCCCCCTCCCTCTTCCGGGATCGCCTTCGAGAGGGGCGGGGGAGGGGAGAAAGGAGCCAAAAAAGAGCTGCGGATTGCGAAGCTGTTGCAGGGATCAAAGCAAAGGGGGGGGGCCGAGCGGGGAAGGGGCCAGACTGGGGGGGGGCGGCCCTTGGAACCCACTTAAGGGGGGGGGGGGGGGTCTTGGAGGCAGCTCCCCCCCCCAGTCTTTTCTGCCTTCTTCCCAGAGGGTGTTGGATGGCCAATAGATCTGGCCAGTACTTGAATGTAAAACGTGCCCCAGATTAAAACATTTATTTAGCGTATGGCACCAAGTACAACATGGATAACGGTAGTAAAATATCAATATCAATATAAGCTATAAAAGAGCACAGGATACTATGCTCCGTGTCTGCTGTGAATGCGCAGTCAATTTTGTCAGGAATTCAAGACAGTTGTATATAAGTTACAGGTTACATTTTGGAATACGCTGGTTCATGAGAATGGAAAAAGTGCTCTCTATACAGGTAGCCCTTGATTTACGACCGCAATTGAGCCCAAAAATTCTCTTGTTAAGGGAGGCATTTGTTCAGTAAAATGCATCCTGTTTTACGGCCTTTCTTGCCTCCGCTGTTAAGTGAATCACTGCAGTTGTTAAGTCAGTAACACGGTTGTTAAGTGAATCTGGCTCTTCCCTATTGCCAGAAGGTCTTAAAAAGGGATCACGTGACCCCCCAGGGATACAGCCACTATCATAAATACGAACCAGTGGCTAAGCATCTGGATTTTGATCACGTGACCATGGGGAAGCTGAACCGGTCGTAAGTGTGAAAAATGGTCATAAGTCATTTTTTCTAGTGCTGCTGTAACTAGACAAATGGTTTATGGACTACCTGTATTTAAAGCTTGACTTTGACCTGGAAATAAAAAGGTCCAAATCTGCTTATCAAACTGGGGCTGAAAATGACTGACATTAGCATGCAGACAGAACTGAGTTACAGCCAAGAATTGATGAGCATTACAAAAAAATACTGCAGTAAGATTATCTCAGGCTCAGGGCCCCTTAGGGTTAGTGGATGATGGTTAAAAGAAGAACTGGACTAGACCAGTCCAATAAAGGGATGCTCCTAGGGATTTTATTTATTTATTTCCTATCCTAGAATAGAATAGAAGCTGGAAGGGACTTTGGAGGTCTTCTAGTCCAGCCCCCTGCTCAAGCAGGAGAACCTATACCATTTCAGACAAGTGACTGTCCAGTCTCTTCTTAAAAAACCTCCAGTGATGAAGCACTGTTGATGGAGATTATTTTCTGCTGCTTGTGTTTGCATTATATTGAATTCCAGTATGACATGGTCACTTTCCCCCAAAGTTCCGGCAACTTCAACTCCCTCTCACTTCTTCTCTGTTAGTAAGAATTAGGTCCAGTATAGCTTTACCTCTAGTTCCCTCCTCTACTTTTGGGATGACAAAGTTGTCAGCTAGGTTGGTTAGGAATCTATCTGATCTCCCACTCGCTGCAGAGTTGATATCCGGATAGTTCTCCCATGGCTACTGTGGTATGCTTCCTACATACATTGGTTAACTGGTTGGCAAAAGAGCATCTATTTCTTCTGATTGGTTGGGTGGATTGTCATATACACCTATGGCAGTGTCACCTTTTCCCCTTTTGTATTGGCCCATATACATTCTGGAGGAGTTTTATCTTTGATCATGTGCATTTCTGTAGATATGTAGTGATCTCTTACACGTAGTGCAACTCCACCTCCTCTTTTTGTAGATCTGTTTCTTTTGAACAGTTTGCATCCATCCATCCAGTCACGGGTTTCATCCCACCAGGTTTCTATAAGGTATCCTGTACAGGTATCAACTATGTAAGAAAGTAAGATATTCTGGCAGATATCAACTCTCGCCTGGACTACTGCAACACTCTCTACAGAATGCGGCCGCGCGGGTGGTTATGGGTGCAACCCGTTGCGCCCACGTGACACCCTTCCTGCGCGAGCTGCACTGGCTCCCAGTGGTCTTCCGGGTGCGATTCAAGGTGTTGGTTACCACCTTTAAAGCGCTCCATGGCATAGGACCCGGGTACCTTCGAGACCGACTTCTGTCACCAATAGCCTCCCACCGACCAGTCCGTTCCCACAGAGAGGGTCTCCTCAGGGTGCCATCGGCCAAGTTATGTCGGCTGGCGACACCCAGGGGGAGGGCCTTCTCTGTGGGAGCCCCAGCCCTGTGGAATGAACTGCCCCCGGAAATACGTAAGATCTCCGACCTCCGGGTGTTTCGCTGTGCTCTGAAGACCCTGTTGTTCCGCCAGGCAGGGCTATTAACATAACGTTTTAAATTGGGGTATTTTAAATTTCTGGGATTTTAATTGGAGCCTAATTATTTAATGATTTTAAATTTTAAATTGTTGTCGTGTTTTTTGTGTTTTTAAATAGGCTGTACACCGCCCTGAGTCCTTCGGGAGAAGGGCGGTATAGAAATAAAATTATTTATTTATTTATTTATTTATTTACATGGGGCTCCCCTTGAAGAGCACCCAGAGGCTCCAACTGGTCCAGAATGCGGCTGCGCGGGTAATTACGGGAGCTGCATGGCGCTCCCACATAACATCGCTCCTGCGCGAGCTGCACTGGCTCCCAGTGGTCTTCCGGGTGTGCTTCAAGGTGTTGGTTACCACCTTTAAAGCGCTCCATGGCATAAGACCTAGTTATCTTCGAGACCGCCTGCTGCTACTGTGAGGTAGCAACCTCCCATCGACCCGTGCGCTCCCACAGAGGGGGCCTCCTTGGGGTGCCATCAGCCAAACAATGTAGGCTGGTGACCCCCAGGGGGAGGGCCTTCTCTGTGGGGGCACCTACCCTATGGAACCAGCTGCCCCCTGAGATAAGGAGAATCCAAGACCTTGGTGCCTTCCGCCGTACCCTTAAAACTTTCTTTTTTCATCAAGCCGGGCTGGCTTAACATATTTTTTAATTTTTAATTTTTAATTGGTTTGTCATTTTAAACGGGGGCCAAATTAATATATATATTCTTTTAATTGTTCTTAATGTTTGTATTGTATGTTTTTATCTGGCTGTATACTGCCCTGAGTCCCTTGGGAGAAGGTGCGGTATATAAATTTGAAATAAAATAAAATAAAATAAAATAAACTATGTCATCCCTGCCCTTGTGTACTATTGCTTCTAGTTCACCCTGTTTGTTCCCCAAGCTTTGAGCGTTTGTATATAAGCATTTAAGACTTTTGTGCCTATCCATGGGCCTGGTTCCTCCATCTCCTAGTTATTGTTTGGGTTTTTCGTTTTTACCATCACTCCCTACTTCATTGTTCGATTTGTTTTCTTGGGATTTTTGAATGGTTTTGTGATCCTGTCTGTCTGTATTATTTTTACAAATAACTCAAGGCAACAGTCCCTCGGGAGAATGGCGGCATATAAATCACAATAATAAATAAATAATAAATAAATAAAATAAACAGATTTAATACGCCTGCCTTCCACCTATTTTCCTCAGAACAACAACCCTGCGAGGTTGCTTGGACTGAGAGAAGGTGGCTGCCTATGCTGGGTTTAGATCGTGGTGATTGGTCCAAAGTCACCTAGCTTTCATGCCTAAAGTGGGACTAGAACTCCCAGTCTCCTAGTCATCGGCCCAACGTCACCCAGTCAGTTTTCGTGACTAAGGCAGAATTTGAACTCGGGGTCTCCTGCTTTCTTGCCTGATTCATCTTTTTAATCCTGTGCTGAGATTTGTGCTTCTCCTCTTCTTCTCCTTCAGAAATCCAGAAGAGCAAGGAGAAGGCGCAGCGGAAGGGGGACCAGAAAGAAGAAGCTGCTCTCTGCAACCAACTCGGAGAGATTTTAGCCCGTCATGGTGAGCCTCCCAGAGGGAAAAGTCCTCTGCTCAAGCGCACCTCACAAGCTGCTAAAAGTGGTTACAGACAGTCCTCAACTTACAACAGGTCACTTAGAGACCATTCAAAGTTACAATGGCACTGAAATAAGCGACTTATGACTGTTTTTCACACTTATGACTGTTACAGCATCCCTGTGGTCACGTGATCTACATTCAGAGGCTTGACAACTGACTCACATTTATGACCGTTGCAGTGTCCCGGGGTCATGTCACTTTTTGTGACCTTCTAACAAGCAAAGTCAGTGGGGAAACCGGATTCACTTAACAACCTTGTTACCAATTGAACAACTGCAATGCTTCACTTGACAGCTGTAGCAAGAAAGGTCGTAAAATGGGGCAAAACTCACTTTAAAAGTGTCTCACTTAGCGGGCAGAAATTTTGGGCTCGATTGTGGTCATAAGTTGAGGATTACTGTATTTCAAACAGCATCAGAGAAAACGTGGGGACACAGAATTCAGTAACTCTCTGAGGTGGTTAGGCCAGAGGGACCATTTACAGGTAGTCCTCGAGTTATAGCCACAATCGAGCCCAAACTTTACTTTGCTAAGTGAGATGTATGTTAAGTGAGTTTTGCCCCTTTTTCTGAGCTTTCTTGCCACGGTTGTTAAGTGAATCATTGGAGTTACTAAGACGGTTGTAAGACGGAGAAGCTGCCTTCTCCATTGACCTTGTTTGTCAGAAAGTTGCAAAAGGGGATCACGTGACCCCTGGATACTGCGACCGTCATAAATATGAGCCAGTTGCCAAGCGTCCAAATTTTGATCATGTGACCACAGGGGTGCTGCAATGGCCGAAAGTGTGAAAAATGGTCATAGGTCACTTTTTTCAATGCCATCGTAACTTCAAACAGTCATTAAAATCTTGCACAGCATCAGAATTCAGACAAAGCTCACCAGAAGAGTGAAATGAAGGTCTGGCCATTCATCTCCACCATTGCTTCATAATGGAATAACAGAGCTGGAAGGGACCTTGGAGGTCTTCTAGTCCAACCCCCTGCTTAAGCAGGAGACCCTAGACCATTTCAGAGAAGTGGCTGTCCAGTCTCTTTTTAAAAGCCTCCAGTAATGGAGCACCCACAACTTCTGGTGGCAAGCTGTTCCACTGGTTAATTGTCCTCACTGTTAGGAAGCTTTTCTTTAATTCCAGGTTGCTTCTCTCCTTGAATAGTTTCCATCCATTATTTCTTGTCTTGACTTTGGGTGCTTTGGAAAATAAGTTGACCCCTTCCTCTTTGTGGCCGACCCTCAAATACCAGAATAGAGCTATCATGTCCCCCCATGTCCTTCTCTGCTGAACTTTTATAGAATATAGAATGAGAGAGTTGGAAGGGACCCTGGAGATCTTCTAGTCCAACCCCAGGGAGGAGACCCTATACTGTTTCAGACAAAGAGACTGTCCAGTCTCTACTGGAAAACCTCCAGTGATGGATCTCCCCACCCCATCCCAGGCATCCTGTTACATTGACCATGGTTCCTTCCTCTGCCCCCTGACGTTCCCCGCTGCCCCTTCCACCCCGCAGGACGCTTCCAGGAGGCCCTGGAGGAACACAGGCTGGAACTGCAGCTCCTGGAGAGCGTGGAGGACGTCATCGGCTGTGCGGTCGCCCACCGGAAAATTGGGGAGTGCTTGGCTGAGCTGGAGAGCTATGAAGCTGCCCTGAAGGTAGGAAGAGCCCTGGTAGCGCAGCAGACTAAAGCACTGTTATTAACATCAAGCTGTCTGCAATTACTGCAAGTTCAAATCCCACCAGGCTCAAGGTTGACTAAGCCTTCCATCCTTTCTAAAGTAGGTTAAATGAGGACCCAGTTTGTGGGGGCAATAAGCTGACTTTGTATAAATATACAAAACTATATTTTGTATAAAGTATAAAGAGCCTGTAGTACAGTGGACTAAAGCACTGTTATTAAGACCAGCTGCCTGCAATTACTGCAGGTTCGAATCTTGCCAAGGCTCAAGGTTGACTCAGCCTTCCATCCTTTCTAAGGTAGGTAAATTGAGGACCCGGTTTGTGGGGGCATTAAGCTGACTTTGTATAAATATACAAAAGTATGAAGGCTATTGCTTAACGCATTGTAAGCCGCCCTGAGTCTCCGGAGAAGGGCGGCATATAAATCAAAATTTTTTTTTTTAAAAAAAAGGAAGGCCAGGAGGCGGGAGGGAGCACCGAGTGGAAGGGCCCGCCAGGCATTGTACAGGTAGTCCTAGACTTATGACTGGTTGCTTAGCAACTGTTCTGAGATACGACAGACCTTCCAAAAGTTTCTTGTGACCAGTTCCTGGTCACATGAACTCCTGCGCAATTATGTGACCGCATTTCAGGCACTCGGCATCCAGCCTGCATTTACAATTGGTTGCAACAATTATTTACTTATTCATTTCATCCAGTCATTTATTTATTGGTTGATCTGATTTCTGTCGCCTCCCATCTCAGCAAACGATTCGGGGGGGCTATAGAATAGAATAGAGTAGAGTAGAATAGGACAGAATAAATAGAATAGAATGATAGGACAGGACAGGACAAGACAGAATAGGGCAGAATAAATAGAATAAGACAGAATAAATAGGACAGGACAGGACAGAGAGAAAAAAGAAGAGAAAAAAATATTCTTTATTGACCAAGGAATTTGTCTCCGGTGGATAAGCTGTCATACAAGCAACAAGTGATAAATCATGATCATAATCATAAAATACAATCATTGTAAATCATAAGATTCCACACTCAATGATACTCAAAATAAAAGCAATCAACATAGTCATAATAGGATACTAAACAATCCACATACATCATAAGATATACTGTCAACAACAAAGTTACAGTCATAAGATGCTAAAGGAATGGATAATAGGAAAGATGAGAAGGATATTAGTAATGTAGCCCTACTAGGGGATTTGACATCCCAGGGCATAAGTGTTGTGGGAATCAGTTGTTTAGCAGAGGGATGGCATGGAAGGGAGGGAAACACTAGAAATTAAAGCACCCTACAGACATATGAACACAAATTACGTTTTTGCTCAAAACCAGTGTTTATGTTTTTTGGCAAAAACACCCCATAGCGAACGACGACCATTTAATGACCGCTACTAAAAAGGTCATAAAATCGCGTCAGTCATCACACTATGACTTACTTTACAATTGTTATGGGGCTCTATTACGGTTGCAAGTCAAGGAATGCCTGTACTTAACGGCCAGCCCAGCCAATGGGAATTTGAGATGGGTGCAGCCTCCCTTCCATCTCTCGCCAGCACCAGCGCCGCCATCTGGAACTGGCCTGCACTGTCTCCAATGCGGTGGAGCAGCAGAGGGCTTGGGCCACCATTGGCCGCACCTACATGTTCATGGCCGAGAATGACCAGCTGGGGGAGGCCCTGCAGGAGGCGGAGAAAGCCTTCATGGAGAGCTTGGCTATTCTGGAGGAGAAGCTGGAAGGTACCATGGAGGGAGAGAGGTGGGGAGGCAGGGCAGGGTCTCCCGGGACTCCAGGGGTTGGTATCCTCCGTGCTGAAGTGGGAACAAAGTCTTTGGGAGTTTAAGAGTTTCCTCCTTTCTTGGAGGCTTCCTGAGTTGGGGTGCTGTCTTCTCATAAATGAAAGCAGACATGCATGTCCAAGGATAATGATGCAAAATCTGGTCGGAGTCCATCACCGGGACCAAAAGTTTATTCTTCCAAGGTGTCGGGGTCCTGATGCAGCCCGTCCTTGGGGAACTTCTTTTTCTCTCCAGAAAGTGTGTGCACTCGGCTACTCGCACATTGTACCGATGAAGGAGAATATTCATAGCTCAGGGTTGAAATGAGGGGGTCCTTGATGCTCTCTGAGCTTGCTTGTTTTCTTGCAGATGTTTCATGACGCAGCCAGGTAACCCCATCAGTGCTTGAGGGATGTGCAGTTTGCAGGGAGGAAGTGGGGGGGAAGATGAGGAGAAAATGGAGGAGTTGGAGGAGGAGGATGACGACTGTGGGGTCCTTGATGTTCTCTGAGCTTGCTTGTTCTCCAATGTGCTGAGCCGAGAATCCAAAGGATGGGTTAACTCTGCCTTTCTGCCCAGAGACTGAGTCCTTTTAAAACTTTGCAGCCACACCTCTCTTGATTGTTCCCCCACTTTTGACTCAGTTTGAGCCCAAGAGAGACGCGTTTTAAAGAAGAGCTCCTCAGAGCAAACAGGCAGAGTTATATTCTTTGGATTCTCGGCAATCAGCTGTTTGGCACGAGACCAGCACAGAATTAGCAACAAATCAGCTGTTTTTCGGAGAACAGCGTGGTGTTCGGGCGAGCAATACGGCTGATTTAGCACAGGAGCTCTCTTAAGTTTGCTTGTTTTCTTGCAGATGTTTCATGACCCAAACTCGGTAACATCATCTGTGCTAATAGCACTGATGATGTTACCTAGTTGGGTCATGAAACGACTGCAAGAAAACCACCAAGCTCAGAGAGCACCAAGGATCCTTCTACACATTGTATTTATGTGGTTCCTGGTTGAGTGTAACTATTAATTGTTAATTAGGGTGTTGATGGACGGCTAATATTAGTTGTTTCCTTGTGTCACCACCCCTCGGCTCCTAAGCACCTGACAGGCTGAGGGTCAGTCACCATTCTAAAACTAAAAGCTGTACACACACTAGGAGCTGTATAAACGCAACAGGTGGAACAGCCCGTTCTAGAAATGGGGTAGTAGGGTCTCCTGCTTGGGCGGGAGGTTGGACTAGATGACCTACAAGGTCCCTGTTAAAAAAAACATCCAGTGCACCCCTTCTGGAGAGAGAAAGACGTTCCCTTCCAAGCATGAAGCTTGGAAGAACAAAGTTTTGCTCCCTGGGACCAACTCTGATTGGACTCTGCAAACTCTCTTCTCCTTGCAGGGCAGGTGCCGCAGCGGGAAGAGAGTGAGATGAGGGCGCGGCTCTACCTGAACCTTGGCTTGATCTATGACAGCTTGAGGAACCCAGCCATGCGCACCTCCTACATCAAGAAGAGCATCTACATCTCAGAGTAAGGGGGCCGGGGGTGGGGGTCTCTCTCCCTGCTCCACCTGGATCAGCAGTGAGCCTTTGGGCTCACTGTGAAAAATGGCCGTAAGTCACTTTTGCAGTGCTGTCGCAAATTCTAGCGGTCATTAAACAAACAGTTGTAAACTGCAGACTTCCTGCAGATGCCAGTTGCCAAGCATCCCAATTCTGTTCATGTGACCATGGATGGGGAAGCTGCAACGGTTGTCAGCGTGAAAAACGATCCTGGCTCCCTCTTTTCAGGGTTGTAACTTCAAACAGTCACTAAATGGACTGTTGTAAATCAAAGACTAGCTATATCAGGCAGTTCAATTTCTTAGCATCTGTGTCTCCTAACGGCTCCTCTCCATTTTCTTCCTTCCTTCCTTCCTTCCTTCCTTCCTTCCTTCCTTCCTTCCTTCCTTCCTTCCTTCCTTCCTTCCTTCTTTTCTTTTCTCTCATATTTCACACATTTCTGAACTGCCCATCTCCTTTAAAGAGGGATTATGGACAGTCTACAATAAAACATCAAAATACAAAACAGCGTATAAATAAACAACTGTTAGGGTTGGCAATTTAATTCTAATCCTTGGACTCTGGAGATAACCTGGGGGCTCTTTGCTGGCAATGAGGGACTCCGTGACCCATCCAGCAGGGCGTTGCCCCGGTGCCCACTGCCTCTTCCGCCTCCTAGGCAGGCCCACCTGTCGGAGGACCTCTTCCGGGCCTACTTCAACCTGGGCAACATCCACCTGCGGGAGAAGGAGCATTCGCAGGCCATGCGCTGCCTGGAGCGAGCCCGGGAGTGCGCCTGCAAGATGAAGGAGAAATACATGGAGAGCGAGTGTTACGCCAGCATTGCCCAGGTAAGAGAGTCACCTTGAGCAGGGGGCTCACCTGCACCCCACCAATCCCAAGCTCCTCTGCCTTCTTGCTCTGCGCAAGCGTGGCTAAACCCTAGAGCAGGGGTGTCCAACCTCGGCCGCTTCTAGCCTCGTGGGCTTCGACTCCCAGAATTGCCTCCGACCCTTGCCCTTGGTCGTCCGCAGGTCCTGCTGGGTCTGGGGGATTTCGTAGCCGCCAAACGGTCCCTGAAGAAGGCCTACCGCCTGGGCTCCTGGCAGCCCCAGCAGCGGGACAGCGTTGGCCGCAACCTGCGCTACGGTGAGTGCTGGTGTCTGTGGGTCTGGCCTTTGGCAATTGGGTTAGAGGCTGCTCCCTGCCCCCTCACCACTCTGGTGTGACTCTTCCTGCCCGGCAGCCACGAAGGTGAGCCGCTTGCAAGAAGCCCTGGAGGAGGCAGAGGCCGCCAGCGACCTGGGGGCAGCCCTGGCAGTCTCCGAGCAACTGGGGGACCTTTTCTGCAAGATGGGCGACTATCGGCGGGCTGCGGAGGCCTACGAGAAGCAGGTAGGGTCCAGCTGTTCAGGGGCCAAGGTTGTGGACGAATCCGGGGGGGGGGGGGGGGGGGGAAAGAGGCGAACTGCCTCTGATCCTGACCCTCAGCTCAGCTGCTTCTCTCTTGATCAGAGGTCTTCAAACTTGGCAGCTTTAAGACTTTAAGAATTTAAGAATTCTGGGAGTTGAAGTCCACAAGTCTTAAAGCTGCCAAGTTTGAAGACCTCTGCTCTTGACGGTTGGAGGGGGGAGGATCAGCCTCAGAGTTGCCCCTGAGCTGGCCAGTCATCCCTAGTCTTCCCAGTTGGGGCCAGGAGGTCACTCCTTAGAATTTGGCAGCAGCCAGTGCCAGAATATTGGCTATCTGCTCTAGAACCGAGCATCTTGGCTGCCGAGGCTGGACAGAAGCAGGAAGTCCGATCCAAACCAGAGGAGGTTGGGACTTGGGTCAAGTTGTGATGAAAGGTAGAGGTAGAGGTGGATGAAATACTTAGTTTAAATAAGAGTGATGTAAGGAGATACAAGATCCCAAGGGAGGATCCTGTATGGGAGCGTGGTCAGAAAAGTAACAAGAATTGAAATACTAAAAAGGGCAAGAGATGACGGATAGATATAGAATTCTTCTTAATATAGGACTTGTTTGACCAAGAGTTAGAAAATAGAGATAGGAGTTAGAATGGGGAAAATATTACTACGTATATTGCAATATACTATATTATAATTACCATGTAGACGCAAATGTTAGAAGCTGAAAGATTATTATCAGACATACTTGAATAGTATTGTTATTAGTATTGTGTATAAAGTAAATTATCATTACTATTACTATTATTTTAACTATTACTGATTTCAGAATTATGAATATTTTTTAAATCTAAAATGACTCCGACAATACACTGCTCACTAAGTACTTATGTATATGTTAAAAAAAATAAAAATAAAATAAAATAATAATTTTAAAAAGTCATGATGAAATCTTGGCTGCTTGGTCGGGCAGAGGGATGGGAGCCCAGCCGATGCAGGATTCAGGTCTCTTTCTGGAAGATATCCAGGACCCTAAACGGTGGGGTACTTTTTCAGCTCGGCCATGCCAAGGCTTTAGGACGGACAGAGCAGGAACTGGCTGTGATTCACGTCTCTTTGGCGGCCACCTTTGGGGACCTCAAGGACCATGCCCGAGCAGTGCAGCATTACCAGGCAGAACTGGCCCTGCGGCGTGGGAACCCCCTGGAGGTAACGGGGGGTGAGAGGAACAGAGCTCCAGATGTGCCTCTGCAGGGTTTTCTCCCCCAGCCAATCCCCGTTGCTGAGACAATAGCATTGTTAAGGAATTCGCAGAGTAACCCTTGAGTAGCAAGGGTGTGTACATGAAAGCGATTGAGAGTAGTTACCAAATAAACACAGACAACACACAGATACACTGAGTTGTGTTTACTTTCAGGAAATAGTAAGGCACAGTCCCATAAACAGTCCAGGTCATACCCATATAAAGCAGGAGATAGCCAAAACGACAGTCCAGGGATAATCCAATAACCAAGTCTTCTTACCAGTCGTCGTAGTCATTCACAATAAACAGTTCTTCTTGGTTTGCAAACAGTAGCATACAGAGATATCAGAGAGCAAAAACAGCAGAGAAAAAACAAACCATGTTTTTAGCTCCCTATTAAGGACATTAAGGAGCTAACCAATCAGGACACAGTATGATGTATTACAGCAGTCTTAAAGCTACATTGATGGTTTATATATTGCCAGCCCAACAAGTTAGGTAATTTCCTAACAGCATCATGGAGGGAGAATGTGAGCTAATACAGGGGTGTCCAATCTTGGGTGCTTTAAGACTTGTGGACTTCAACTCCCAGTATTCCCCAGCCAGCACATGCGCTGGCTGGGGAATTCTGGGAGTTGAAGTCCACAAGTCTTAAAGCACCCAAGATTGGACACCGCTGAGCTAAAAGTTGTGCAGTGGTTAGAATGCAGTATTGCAGGCAGACTCTGCCGGCTGCCAGCAGTTTGATTCTCACCTTCTCAAGGTTGACTCAGCCTTCCGTCCTTCCGAGGTGGGTAAAAATGAGGACCCAGATTGTTGGGGGCAAGAGGCTGACTCTGTAAACCGCTTAGAGAGGGCTGGAAAGCTCTGTGAAGAGGTATATAAGTGCTATTGCTAAGTGGGAAGGAAGGATAGGAAGGAAGGAAGGGCCATGGTGGCACAGTGGTTAGAGTGCAACATTGCAGGCTGACTCTGCCCACTGCCAGCAGTTCAATCCTGACCGGCTCGAGGATATAACTCAGTCTTCCATCCTTCCGAGGTGGGTAAAATGAGGACCCAGATTATTGAGGGCAAGAGGCTGACTCTCTAAACCGCTCACAGAGGGCTGGAAAGCATTGGGCGACGATATACTGTATGTGTCTCTAAGTTCTATGCCTACTAAGCCTGGTCTGTTCTGCCCACGCCAGGAGGGCAAGACCTGGCTGAACATCGCCTTGGCCAAGGAGGAGGCTGGCCAGAGCTACCCGGAGTTGGAGTCCTGTTTCCAAGCCGCTCTGCAGGCTGCACAAAAGGCCGGTGACCAGAAACTGGAGGTGAGTAGGGTTGGAGTAGTTGTGTTTATTTATTTATTTATTTATTTTTTGCAAAAGGCGCTTTTTGTCTTGGCGATTTTGCAAAAATCGAAAAACGGGAAAGGATCGTGGTCCCAAAGGTGATTTTTTTCCAAAAGGCATGCTTGAAAACCTTTTGCTTCCCTACAGGTGAAAATGTTATAAAAAAAAATATTAGAATGTGCAGAAATGGACAGACTAGAATTCAAAACTAAGGAGAAGGAAGAAACTGAACGCTTTTTAACGTGGGGTTTGTTTTATCAATGGCTAACTAGCAGAAACAGAAGTTAGAAACTTAAAAGCATAAGGAAATGATGAACTATATTGAAGTTTTATTAAAATGGATAAGTAAACGTGATTATCATTCATGTTATGTTATCATTAATGTTTATCATACTTATAAATATTATTGTTATTAATACTATTTCTCAAAAACAACTGTACTCAGACAATACACTATTCATATAGTTATTGAATTTTTATGTTTAATATTAAAAAAAATTATAACCAAAAAAAAAAAAAAGACCTGTGGACTTCAACTCCCAGAATTCCCCAGCCAGCGAATGCCATTAGGCTTGAGGGAATTCTGGGAGTTGAAGTCCACAAGTCTTAAAGGGGCCACGTTTGGAGAATGCTGCTCTATACTTTGTTCTTCACTTGACTTGGCTCAAGATTGACAGCTGTCTTTCAAAACGATCACACCGATTGCTTTTTGCCAGCTTCAGATCTTGCGGCATCTCCAAGCCTCCCAGCAGAGATGCGGCTGCCCGCCGACGGCCACAGCGGAGACGTCAGCCCGTCTGCAGGCGCTCTGCGCCTCCCACGACCGTCACTCGGACGGGGAGAGCAGCGAGGAAGAGGAGCTGCACAACAGCCAGGCCTTGGAGGACAGCGACTTGGAGCTCTCCGACAGTGGTGAGCCTCATGGGTGGCGTAGGAGGAGACTGGTTCTTTTGGCCCTGGACAAGCAGCTAAGTCCTCTATTTATGGCCACAATTGAGCCCAACGTTTCTGCTGCTGAGCGAGACGTTTCTTAAGGGAGTTTTGCCTCGTTTTACGACTTTTCTTGCCACGGTTGTTAAGTGAACCACTGCAGCTGTTAAGTGAGTAGCACGGTTGTTAAATGAATCTGGCTTCCCTCTTGACTTGGCTTGTCAGAAGGTCGCAAAAGGAGATCTGCAACCGTCATAAATACGAGTCAGTTGCCAAAGTCTGAGCTTTGATCTCATGGATGCTGCAAATGTCATAAGTGTGAAAAAGAGGCATTCTTTTCCAGTGCCCTTCTAACTTTGAATGGTCACTAAATGAACTGTTGTAAGGAGTCCAGTTTTTATGTCTCGCCATTCCTGCTGGGAGTTGCTCAAAGGGCAGGGCGCAATTTTCCTGGCTTATCAAATGGCCACTGAGCGTTTGTGAGTTCCAGCAGAAGAAGGAAGGCAGGAATGAGGATGCCACCTTAATCCAGGTTAGCCCAGGCTCTGCCTGGTCGGTCCAAAAGCAGCCAGGCACCAGCCCATGCCAGGGAAGAGCTCCTCCCTCCCAAAAGTGGCAGCCTTGTAGTCCTGGCTGTGTTCCTGGAGTTGGACCTGGACTGAGGAAGCCAGGAAGACGATTCCACACAACAGCGCTGGGCCGACCAGGATAGGGAGCCACCAAACCTTATTTTCATCCCCGTGGCATTCCCTGCATCCACCCTCTCTTGGTGTCTAGGGAGATTCTCCGTCCCCCAGGTCAGGGTTGTCCCAAAGGTGCTTTTTTTCCAAGAGGCAACTGGACTTTCTGGTTTTTCTTTGAAGACGTTTCGCTTCTCCTCCAAGAAGCTTCTTCAGCTCTGACCGAATAATGGGGGACGGAAGGACTGATACGCCTTGCAGACAGCTGGTCGTTTGCATCCTTTTAGAGAGTCCTTGAGGCCACCTGGAGGTTTACCTGCGTCCTGAGGGTCACCTGAGTGGTGCAAATGGGTGTGGATCCTTCTTGGAACTGCTGAAAGGACCGTGTTGTAGACTGGAGATAGGTGATGTCTACAGACGGGGAGGGATACGACATCATCAATCTCCAATCTACAACACAGTCCTTTCAACAGTTCCAAGAAGGCTCCACACTTATTTTCACCACTTAGGTGACCCTCAGGACGCAGGTAAACCTCCAGGTGGCCTTAACGACTCTCTAAAACGGGTGTCAAACTCGGTTTCTTTGAGGGCCGCATCAGAGTTGTGTTTGACCTCTGGTGGCCGGGGGTGGGTGTGGCCCGCCCCACATCACTTGTGTTGGGGGCACCTTTGGTGGCCAAGTGCTAAGGTGGGACTTCCCTGAGACCCTCCGCTCATTATAATCAATCTTCCTTCCTTCCTTCCTTCCTTCCTTCCTTCCTTCCTTCCTTCCTTCCTTCCTCCCTCCCTCCCTCCCTCCCTCCCTTCCTTCCTTCCTTCCTTCCTTCCTTCCTTCCTTCCTTCCTTCCTATATTTTCTTTTTCCTTCCCTCTTCATTCTCCTTTCTTCTTCCTTCCCCACTTTCCTTTTTCCTTCCTTGCTCTCTTCCCATCTTTCCGTCTTTTTCTTTCCTCTTTCCCTTTCTCCTCTCCTGTCCCTTCTTGCATGCTCATTTCCAGGGTGGCCTTGAGTTTGATACCCCTGTTCTAAAAGGATGCAAATGACCAGCTGCCTGCAAGGAGTATAAATCCTTCCATCCCCCACCATCCGGTCAGAGCTGAAGAAGCTTCTTGGAGGAGAAGTGAAACATCTTCAAAGAAAAAAGAGAAAGTCCAGTTGCCTCTTGGAAAAAAAACCACACCTTTGGGGCAACCCTCTCTTGGGTTTGTCTGGAAAGCAGCCTCAAAACGCAGCTACTAACGGGGAGCAGGGTGACAGTAGAAGGGAGATGTCGTACATGAGAGAGAGACAGACATTGTGTGGAGCGGAATTTGCAGGGGTTAGAGAGGGTCTCTCCCTTGGAACCCTCTGGGGGTCCACCAGGAGGACTTTGGAGCCCCTGATGCTTCCTCTGACCCCCTGCTTCTCTTCCAGGTGAAGAGGAGGACATGGAAGGCTACGGCAAAACTGTCCCTGGACGGCGCAGAATCAGCAAGGTCAGCCCACAAGCTTTGACTAGGCGGGGTGGGCGTCAGGTGCAAAAGATATCCCCCCCCCCATGAAGGTCTAATTAAGCTGGCTTATCACTCGACAGCCTATGCGCAGGAGTTTTAGCAGCACCTGCTCAGAGATAGATAAGAGTCAACGGAATTCAAGGGAGGTTGTGACCATGTAAGGATTCTAGGCTGATATCTCCTTTGACTCCGCCCCAAGTTCTGCTTTCCCTTCTCCTACAGTGGGGCGCTTCTTTGACTCCAGGGCTTTGGGCTGGCATGGCGGGTGGGTGCTTGTTTTTCCCACGGAAGGGTCACACGTGGTATTGGGGGCTCTTCCTTTCCTCAGTGGAACCAGCGCAACGACAAAGGCGAGACTCTCCTGCACCGGGCCTGCATCGAAGGGAACCTGCGCCAAGTCCAGTATTTCCTGGAGAAGGTCAGTCTGGGGCAATTCATTTTCCCCAGGGGTCACACGGGAAACTGGGACGGCCGGGCAGGACCGAACCAAAGGGCTGGACTTAATTCTGCTGCCAGGTTATGTGTGCGAGTTATGTATGCGCAGACTTAGGAGAGCAGGCGACAATTTCATTTTTAATGTGTGCCAGTGTGCCCACACTAAAAAATGATGAGGTTATGTATGTACTGTATGTATGTATGTAGGTATGTGTCTGTCTCTCTCTCGCTATCTATCTATATCTATCTAACCATCTATCTAACCATCTATTGTCTGTCATCTATCTATCTATCTATCTATCTATCTATCTATCTATCTATCTATCTCTGTCTACCTATATCCATCTACCCATCTATCTATCTACCTACCTACCTACATTACCTACCTACCTATCCATCTACCCATTTATCTATCCATCTTGTCTATCTGTCTGTCTGTCTGTCTCTCTCTCTATCACCTACCTACCTACCTACCTACCTATCATCTATCTTATTTTCTAAGTTTCAGTTGACCTCAGGAGGGCTGGACTGGGACAGCCAAAGAACCAGATGTATCCTGAGGGCCATAAAATGCCCAGATCTGATCTTGGGCTTGCAGGAAAGATGGCCAAGGGAGGGGAGAGGGGAGCCCTGTGCTTGAAGTCAGGTGGGAAGGGGCTGTTTCCCGTCTGGCTCAGCCCAGCTTTGGGTCCCGTTCAAGCCCACGTCTTTTGTCTCTACCTAGAGAATCGCGAGTGGTGGTGGGAGACACGTGCCTGAAGGAGCAACCCATCCTTCCCCTAAGCTCACGCTTCATAGTTGACCAAAGTAATTATTCAAAGGGCAAAACCCGTAGAGCAGGTTTTAAGCCACTTTTACGACATGTGGACTTCAACTCCCAGAATTCCCCAGCCAGCCAGCATTCTAACAAAGCAAGTCTTTGGGGTGCTGCCGATTAGGGCAGGGGTGTGCAACCTTGCAACTTTTAAGATGTGGTCTTCCAACTCTCAGAATTCCCCAGCTAAACTGGCTGGGGAATTCTGGGAGTTGAAGTCCACAGGTCTTTAAGTTCCCAAACTTGGACAGCCCTGATTTAGAATTAATATTCAGAAGGGAGGCTGTGAAATTCCTGCAGAGCTTACTTTTTCCTTTCCTGCTTACCAGTTAGTCAGAACTGGGGCTCCACCCTAGAAGGAGAATTTATTTTTTTTTAAATTTGATTTATATGCCGCCCTTCTCCGGAGACTCAGGGCGGCTTACAATGCGTTAAGCAATAGCCTTCATCCTTTTGTATATTTATACAAAGGCAGCTTATTGCCCCCACAATCTGGGTCCTCAATTTACCTACCTTAGAAAGGATGGAAGGCTGAGTCAACTTTGAGCCTGGTGAGATTCGAACTTACAGTAATTGCAGGCAGCTGGTGTTAATCACAAGGCTTTTAGAAATTTCATTTAGAAATGAAATTAAATGACGAATGTATTTTTTGCTTTATGTACTCCAAGAGCATATGCAGCACGACAAATTCCTTGTGTGTCCAATCACACTTGGCCAATAAAAAAATTATATTTCTATTCTAATTTTAATTATTCCATTCCATTCCATTCCATTCCACTCCACTCCACTCCACTCCACTCTACTCTCTATTCTATTCTATTCTATTCTATTCTATTCTATTCTATTCTATTCTATTCTATTCTATTCTATTCTATTCTATTCTAAATCCTACGAGAAGAGTTTCCAACAGAGGGGAGCGATAGTGCAAACTCGGATTGAATTAAAAAATGTTCCTTTTATAGCCCAAATCTCCAGCCTTACTTTCCTCTTTCTGTGCCAGGAGCATCCTGTAAACCCCCGGGACTACTGTGGATGGACCCTCTTCACGAGGCCTGCAACCACGGGCACCTGGGTAGGTGGGGACTGAAAGCTGGGGTGTGGGTCCTGTCCTGCCATAAGCAAAGAAGAGGGGGCTCCACCTCTTCTCCAAAGCACCTGAGGGCAGGAGAAGCAGCAACGGATGGAAACTCATCAAGGAGGGAAGCAACCGAGAACTAAGGAGAAACTTCCAGACAGCGAGGACAATTAGTAACCAGAGGAACGACTTGCCACAAGAAGTTGTGGGTGCTCCATCACTGGTGGTTTTTAAGAAGAGACTGGAACAGCCACTGGTCTGAAATGATCTAGGGCAGTGTTTCTCAACCTTGGAAGCTTGAAGATGGGTGGACTTCAACTCCCAGAATCCCCCAGCCAGCAGCGCTGGCTGGGGGATCCATCACTGGAGGTTTTTAAGAAGAGACTGGACAACCCCTTTGTCTCAAATAGTGTAGGGTTTCCTGCTTGAGCAGAGGGGTGGACTAGAAGACCTCCAAGGTCCCTTCCAACTCCGTTGTCCCGTATGGAGGACAACGTTGGACGTGACTTCCTTGCATCCTCCAGAGACCGTCCGCTTGCTGTTGGACCACGGCGCCACCATCGATGACCCCGGGGGGGCCGGGCTGTGAGGGCATCACCCCGCTGCACGATGCCCTCAACTGCGGCCACTTTGAAGTGGCTGAGCTCCTGGTCCAGAGAGGGGCGTCAGTGATGCTGCGCAATGCCAAGGTGAGGAGACCCCCCGGGGGGGTGGAGGGGGGTTTGCTGAGGGTGGTGGGCCAGCCTGAGTGTGTCAGGAGTGGGGTGGCTTTATTTGAGAGGTTGGTGACCCTTCCTCACCATTAGGGCCTGGAGATTTTTCTTCTGCATATGGCCAGCCTGCCCTCTGCCCGGCTAATCTCTCTCTGTCCCTTTGCTGTATTATGTATTTTATTCATTTTTATCTTGTTTTGATCATTTGTATAAACAACTCCTCCTCCTCCCTATTTTCTCCATAACCCTGTGAGGTAGGTTGGGCTGAGAAAGTGTAATTGCCCCAAAGTCACCCAGCCGGCTCTCATGGCTAAGGCAAAACTAGAACTCCCAGTCTCCCGAAGATCGGCCCAAAGTCACCCAAATGGCTTTCATGCCTAGGACAAGTACTAGAACTCCCAGTCTCCCGGTGATCAACTCAAAGTCACCCAAATGGCTTTCATGCCTAATGCAAAACACAGCCTTCTGGTGATTGGCCCAAAGCCATCCAAATGACTTTCATGCCTAAGACAGTACTAGAATTCCCAGTCTCCTGGTGATTGGCCCAAAGTCATCCAAATGGCTTTCATGCCTAAGGCAAAACTAGAACTCACAGCCTCCCGGTGATCGGCCCAAAGCCATCCAAATGGCTTTCATGCCTAAGACAGTACTAGAACTCACAGCCTCCTGGTGATTGGCCCAAAGCCACCCAAATGGCTTTCATACCTAAGACAGTACTAGAATTCCCAGTCTCCTGGTGATTGGCCCAAAGCCACCCAAATGGCTTTCATACCTAAGACAGTACTAGAACTCACAGCCTCCCGGTGATCGGCCCAAAGCCACCCAAATGGCTTTCATGCCTAAGGCAAAACTAGAAATCACTATCTCCCGGTTATCAGCCCAAAGCCATCCAAATGGCTTTCATGCCTAAAACAGTACTAGAATTCCCAGTCTCCTAGTGATTGGCCCAAAGTCATCCAGCCAGCTTTCCTACCTAAGGCAAAGCTAGAACTCACAGCCTCTTGGTAATTGACCCAAAGCCATCCAAATGGCTTTCATGCCTAAAACAGTACTAGAACTCACTGTCTCCTGGCGATCGGCCCAAAGTCACCCCGCTATCTTCCGTGCCTAAGGGGCGGGACTAGAACTCACCATCTCCTGCTTTCAAGCCTAGCACCTCCACCACTAGACCAAACGGGCTCTCTCTGCTGTTCCTTGAAGCCTCCCCCACCCTAAAGCCCCTTGCAAAGTGAGGAGTGGGGACCCCTTCCTTCCCCCCCACAAGCTGATGGATGCAGAGCCTGCCCTGTTCTATCGGCAGCCAGGTGGAGAAGGAAGGACCCTGCGGGATGCAGGGGAGAAGTAATTTCCTGGGCTGAGGCCCCCGGGTGTTTTCTCCTCCCTCAGGGCCTGAACCCCCTGGGGACCCTCCAAGCTTGGGTGCAGCTCTACGGGAAGGATCTGGATCCGGAGACCCGCCACCGCTGCAGGGCCATGGAGAGCTTGCTTCGGAAAACCATGGCAGAGCCAGGTGAGGCTGCGCCCAGGAGGATGGTGGGACGGGCAGGGGGTTGCTCCAGGCCAGGAGCCAGCTGTACTCGGGGGTCTACCATCCTTGCTGTGAGAACTTCTGGAGAACTGTCTTGGCTCTCTACAACAGCGGCTTTGGCCACTTGAAGATCTGTGGACTTCAACTCCCAGAATTCCCTCAAGCCAACCAGCAGGCTGGGGAATTCTGGGAGTTGAAATCCACAAGTCTTGCTGGCTGGCTTGAGGGAATTCTGGGAGTTGAAGTCCACAAGTCTTCAAGTTGCCAAAGTTTAGAGACTCCTCCGCAAGTCAGAGGAGGACGGCAGGATCACCAAGAGACCCTGGCTGCTATCGTTAGGACCTCGCTGTCCCCCTAAATGATAGGCAGCCCTCCCCCAAAAGAACAGCAGCAGTGGAAAGAGGCAGGTGACCCCCTGTCCTGGAGCTTCCCGGGACCCTCGGACTGCGTGGGTGTCAGCATTCTGATGCTGCCATAAAGAGAAGAAGAAGAGGCTTGACTTTTCACCTACTTATTTTCTCTGTAGATAATATCCCCTAGGAGATGGGATGGGAGGGGGACATTCCTGTGAGCTGAGGTCAGAAGCCGGGGAGACTGACTTGGAAGATGGCCAATGAGAAGATGAGAATTGGGGAACAGAAAGGGAAGGGTTTGGGGGTCAGAGGGTTAGTATCTGCTACGACGAAGTCGGGGCCAGATCTGTTGTACTCAATAAATGGAATATTTCAGCAAAGATTAATTGTTTGGGAGTGCAATTTATTTGAGAGGACATCGAGACCTGACAGTGGGCTTGACCCAACTTCCTTACAGGTTCCCGGCCCCCGCCTCCCCGAGGAGAGACCCCCAGCCAGCTCTTCGATGCAGAGCTTTCCGAGTCCCAAGCACCCTGCTCTCTGAGCCCCCCTCCGAAGCCCACGGGCGCCCAGCAGCGCCATCAAGTGGCGGAAGAGGACTACATGGCCCCTTTGCGGCCGGTGAAGAAGAAGCAGAGGCTACTGGAGCAGACCCCGGTGGGGGAGGCAAGGCTGGCCCCTCCTGCAGACTATCAGGCTGCCATGCTTGGGCTGGGCAGCGCCCCTCTCCGCCTCCCTCTGAGCCCCGAGCGCCACAAGGGACCCCCCAGGCCGGCCCTGATCCCAGAGGAGGAGTACGTGGGGGACGATTGGCTGGAGGACGACTTGGCGCCCAGCACGGGATCTCGCAAAAGGACCCGCCGGAGCCCAGCCGGAGCTTGGGGTTCTGGGTCGGAGGACAGCGAAGGGGGGGCTCCTTGCCAGCCCCCTGAGAACACCACCAGGAGGAGGAGGAGACCCGCCCGCCAGACTCGCCTCACCCTAGACCGGACGCTGCTGGGGAGGAGCCGAGGGGCCGGCCCCCCACCAAGAGCAGACCCTCCCGCTGAGCCCAGCGGCCTTCTGGAAGGAGCTGGCAGTAGCCCCACTCGGCGGGGAGGCAGCCCACCCTCGGGTGCCCTGCAGGTGAGATTTGGGGCTGAGCCCCTCCCCCCGTCCTGAGCCGGGCAGGAGCCCAAGCAGCTTCCTCAGCCTCTGCTCTCCCCTCCCTCTACAGCTGCCGTCGCCTCCTGTCCGGGTGCGAGTGCGAGTTCAGGACAGCATCTTCCTGATTCCAGTGCCACAAAAGTAAGGGCAGGGGGCAGGGGAAATCTGGCCAACCTCTTGGCACGCGGCTTCCTCCGGGATGGGCCGATTGGAGGTTTCTCACTGGCCTCCTGCCAGCCACAATGGGCAAACTCGCTGTGGGACAATTCAATTTAATTACTTAAAATAAGAATAGAAGGGAAGGGAATGGGAATCGGAATTATTATAATTATTAGAAATAGAATCAGAAGGAATAGGAATAGAGCTGGAAGGGACCTTGGAGGTCTTCTAGTCCAGCCCCCTACTCAAGCAGGAGACCCCCGACCATTTCAGACAAGGGGCTGTCCAGTCTCTAGTCTCTTCTTAAAAATAATTTAAAAGATTATTTTCATTTTGGTCGTTCACGTTTCACTTCGTCCTTCCTTTTCGCATCCATTTTTCAAATGATTTTATCCCACTATTTCTTCGATATTAGCTTGACTCTTGTCCTGTGGCGAGTTCACCGTTGGCTGTAGGGGGATGGCTGTGGGTGGGTTGTTAGAGACCCCCCTGCCAGCGCCTCAAATCTGTAAAGCTTGTTGCTTCCTTCTGTTTTTCCTCCAGGGTCAGGTGCTGTTCAGCGGGGAGTGGGGGATGGGGGGGTGGAGTCCCAAGAGCCAACGCACGACACCAGTGGTAAAATTCAAACTTTTTTTACTACTGGTTCTGTGGGCGTGGCTTGGGGAAGAATTTTGCAAAATCCCCATTCCCTCCCCACTCCTGGGGCCAGCCAGAGATGGTATTTGCCGATTCTCAAAATTTCCGCTACCAGTTCTCCAGAACTTGCTGGATTTCACCCCTGCACGACACCCATGAAAAGCAGTTGCAACCACTGCCTTTATTTTTGGGACCATCCCTTGTAGACTGCCTCCAAGGAAAAGAGGTGTCTTCATTAGAGGTGGACCTTTTGCCCCACTGGCAAATGCAACTGTGTTTGACTTTTGTAGCTCGTCCTCATTTAGCGACTGCCTCATATATATATATATTTTTAATTTGATTTATATGCCGCCCTTCTCCGGAGACTCAGGGCGGCTTACAATGCGTTAAGCAATAGCCTTCATCCTTCTGTATATTTATACCAAGTCAGCTTATTGCCCCCACAAACTGGGTCCTCATTTCACCTACCTTAGAAAGGATGGAAGGCTGAGTCAACCTTGAGCCTGGCGAGATTTGAACCTGCAGTAATTGCAGACAGCTGGTGTTAAATTACAGTGCTATCAGTCTGCTGAGCCACCAGGCCCCATTTAACCCTTTTGAGCTTATGATAGTGATGGGGGGGGAAAATAACTTTATGGCCAGTTCTTGCTGTGAAGTTTCTGAAAGATGCCCTAATTAATTCATGAGCCATGAGCCAAACTTCAAAAGAAATACAGTCATTTATTAGGAGCACCATTTCGGCAATATTTGGATGCAGTTAGAACTAATCCCACGTAGATTTACATTCCCCTACGACCCTGTCTCTCCCCCTCCTCCCTGGCCACGTCATAAATCACATTCTCCAATTAACCACTTTGGCTGGCTGTGAAGTCCAACACCCTCCTTCTGATTGCGGAAAGAAAGCATCTACGGAATGCAGCTTCAGTTAGGGAAATCAATCAGCTCTCCCTCCCTCCTGCTTATGGCAACTTGAAAGCTTTGCAAGTTGACACTTGCACTGATGACTTTGCCCACTCTATAAAACAAAGGAAAGCAACGTCTTAAGTCCGGGGGCAGTTTCCCTAGGCTACACTTTGCTTAACAACCAAGATGGCGGTTTTCCATTGTGGCCACTAAACGAGGACTTGCATTTTGCATTGATAAGAGCCTCAGTGGCGCAGTGGTTAGAGTGCAGTACTGCAGGCTACTTCTGCTGATCACCGGCTGCCAGCAGTTTGGCAGTTTGAATCTCACCAGGCTCCAGGTTATTTATTTTTATTTATAATATTTATAATTAAATTTATATACCGCCCTACTCCCGAAGGACTCAGGGCGGTGAACAGCCAGAAAGTAAAATATACATAATACAAATGTTAAAAACCCTTTAATATATATTAAATACCTTGGCCAGATTTAAAACACCCCAATTATAAAACCAATTTAAAAACAATTAAAAAGGGAGGTAGACCAGACCAGCCTGCTGGAATAAGAATGTTTTGAGGGCGCGGCGGAAAGTGCGCAGATCCGGGATCCTCCGTATCCCGGATCTGAGGTTGACTCAGCCTTCCTTCCTTCCGAGGAGGGTCAAATGAGGACCCAGATTGTTGGGGGACAATAGGCTGACTCTGTAAACCGCTTAGAGAGGGCTATAAAAGCAGTGTGAACTGGGATATCAGTCTAAGGGCTATGGCAAAGTGCTATAAGTTATAGTTATAGTTAGTTAGTTTATAGTTTATTTGATTTGTATACCGCCCTACTCCCGAAGGACTCAGAGCGGTGAACAGCCACAAGATAAAAACACATAAATACAAATTTTAAAAGCAGAATAAAACCGAATTAAACAATTTGGCCGAAGACGAATTTAAAACACCCCAATAAATTAAAAACGAATTAAAATTTGCGTTTTAAAAAGGGAAAAATTAGGCCAGGCCAGCCTGATGGAATAAAAAGGTTTTAAGAGCGCGGCGGAAGGTGCGTAGATCCGGGATCCTCCGTATCTCCGGGGGGAGCTCGTTCCAGACAGTAGGTGCCCCCACAGAGAAGGCTCTCCCCCTGGGAGCCGCCAGCAGACATTGTTTGGCCGACGGCACCCGGAGGAGCCCCTCTCTATGAGAGCGAACTGGTCGGTGGGAGGCTACTGGTGGCAGAAGGCGGTCCCGTAGATTCCGTAGAAGTCTTGAATGAGGGACGCTATCTCGGATTCCCCAGGGTGGGAGAGTCTCAGGGTTTACACACTGACACACAGACACACTTTGTCTTGGCATAGCTGGATATTATATGGGGCAGGGGCCGGGAAGCCGTGATGCTGACTGACCCCACGTAAGAAGCGTGTCCGTGTCCGTGTGTCTTTCTCTGAGAGCCTCTGCTCACTGGTGTCCTTCCTCTTCCTCGCAGTGAGGGCGAGAGCCGCCCGGTCTCGTGGCTGGCCGAGCAGGCCTCCCAGCGCTACTACCAGACCTGCGGGCTCTTGCCCCGCCTGACCCTCAAGAAGGAGGGGGCGCTGCTGGCTCCTCAGGACAGCGTCCTGGACGTCCTGCAAAGCAACGAGGAGGTGAGCAAGCAGCTCTTAGGGGAGGCCTTTCTCCCACTCTTTTGCGGGACGTAGCAGGGGGCTGGGGCCGGGGGCCAGGAAACGGAACAAACTACAAAGGGTAGGAAGACTGAAGGTGGCTTTGGGGTGCTCTCGACGGAGGAAGCCCCTGGCCGAAGGAGGGGAGGAGGGGGCGCCTTGGGAACGTGGCGACAGAGATTCTGCGTTCTGAACTGGGGGCAAGGGAAGGAAGGGGAGCGGCTCCTGGGGAGGGGGCTGTTCCTTCCCCTTCCAGGCCAGCTGACTCTCCCGCTCTCCTTGTCTGTCTCAGGTCTTGGCTGAAGTCCAGTCCTGGGACCTGCCGCCCCTCCTGGAGAGATACCGCAAGGCCTGCCAGACCCTGGCCGCGGGTAAGCACCCAGCCTTCCTCTGCACGGCGCTCTCTCTTCATCATCATCATCATCTTTTAATGATAATCCCTTGCGAGGTGGAGTGAGGGCAACTGAATGGAGCTAGCAGAGCGTTTTACTGGCCGGATGCCTTTCCTGTCGCCAATGCAGAGTCTTGTTCGGCAAATATATCCTCAGTGTGCCCAGAGAGAGAAATATGTGCCTCTACTTAGGTTCGAACTCACAGCCTCCTGATTGTGAGGTGAGAACTCCCACCTCTAGGCCACCGCACCACTCTGCACAGCACTCTCTCTTGATATATTTATTCCTGTCAGGAGCATCCAAATTAAAATGTTATGCGCAGTTGTGAGTACAAACCTCGGAACACAACAGTTTTAAAAGCTTAGTTTAGGCAGCACGTGCCCAGGAGCACAATGTGAGCATGTTTGAGCAGTCACAAAACAGATGGTCTTAAGTCAAGGACTCCCTGTATGGGATACAGCTCAAATGTTGCTTCCTCACGTATAAGTATGGCTCCTCTTGCGTTGGTTCCGGGCTCCAGGATTAACCCAGGTGGCCCTCCGAGGCTAGAGAAGATTGGCCGATATATCAGTTGTCAGAACATTATGGTTGGATGGACCTTTTAAAAGATTTGTGTTAGAAGTCAGAGCCTTGGTGCTCTCCGAGCTCAGTCGTTTCTTCACAGACATTTCATTACCAAACTAGGTAACAGCACCAGTGCTGGGAGGCTTCCAAGCACAGATGATGGGATGTAGTTGGGTAATGAAATGTCTGCGAACAAACAACCGAGTTCAGATAGCACCAAGGACCCCACAGACGATGGCTTTCTTCTTCTTCTTCTTCTTCTTCTTCTTCTTCTTCTTCTTCTTCTTCATCTCCTCTTCTTCTTCTTCTTCTTCTCCTTCCTTCTCTCTTTTCCTTCTTCTTCTCCCTCTCTCTTCTCTTCTTCTCTTCTCCTTCTTCTTCTCCTCTCTCTCTCCTCCTCCTCTCCTCTCTCTTCTTCTTCTTCTTCTTCTTCTTCTTCTCCTTCTTCTTCTTCTTCTTCTCCTCTCTCCTCTCTCCTCCTCCTCCTCTCTTCTTCTTCTTCTCTTCTCCTCCTCTCCTCTTCTTCTTCTTCTCTTCTTCTTCTTCTTCTTCTTCTTCTTCTTCTTCTTCTTCTTCTTCTGCTTCTTCTTTTTCTTCTTCTTCCTCCTCCTCCTCCTCCTCTTCCTCTTCCTCCTCCCCCCTCAATCCCTTCTAGCACTGATGACGTTACTTGGTTTGGTAAAAAAAAACGTCTGCATGAAAACCATCCAGCTCAGAGAACAATAAGGACCCCACAGTCTTCCCCCTCCTCCTCGCCACAAACCCTCCTCCCTTCTAACACGGATAATGTTCCCTAGCTGGGTCATGAAACGTCTGCATGAAAACCACCACGCTCAGGGAGCACCAAGGGCTCCTCAATCCAACCTTGAGCTACACATATTCTCCTCCATCGGTACTAAAAGTGCCTTTTACAAGACGTGTTGCAAATCCTCCCCTGCACTTCCAACCCCTCCTCCGTTCAGTGAAACTCCTCCGTGATCAGACCGTGGCTTGGTTTGCAAGTCACATTAAGCTGTGGTTTAATGGGGGAACAAAACCACAATGAAGCCATGGTGGACACCCATGGTAGATGCCCATTTTGCCCTCCCATGCCTGCTTTTCCTTCCTGCGAGTGGCTCGTCTAACCCGCGTCCATTTCTCCCCCTCCGACCTGCAGGAGAACACCCGTTGCTGGGGAAGCTCTTGGAGCGCCAGGAATCGGCCTCGTCCTTCAGCGTCTCCAGCATGGCTCTTCGCCACCGCCACCTGCGCCCTCTCCTGCGGGCCCTCAAGCTGCAGGCTTCCCTCCGCCAGCTGTGCCTCTCTGGGACTGGGCTGGGGGACGACTCGGCCGAGGAGCTCCAGGCCACGCTGGGGACCATCCCTGGGCTGAAGTGCCTGGATCTCTCGGCCAACCGGCTGGGCCCCGACGGGCTGCAGAAGTTGGCTGCGGGCCTCCCCGGCTCATTTACCTTCCAGGTAGCGTAGAAGTGGCATGTTCTGCAGGAAGCAAAGCCGAGCCTGCATTTAATTTAAAGGCTTCCATTCATAAATGGTCACCTGGGCTGAGATGCTAAGGAGGGAAAGGAAATCGAGGGAAACGGTCCACGGAGACTCTCCACCATCCAGGTCACCGTTGTCCCAAAGGTGCTTCTTCCAAAAGGCCACTGGAGTCTCTTGGAGGTTTTGCCTTGAAGGAGGTTTGCTTCTCATCCAGGAAGATGAAGAGGAATTGAACTGGGGAACTGCAGAAGCTTCTCGGATGAGAAGTCAGAAGCAAAACAAACAAGAAAGTCCGGTGGCCTTTTGGAAGTCAGTACCCTATTTCCTTAACACCTTTGAGAAGATGGATGAATGAGACGGGAGGGAAAGAAGGGAAAAAGGCATGGAAAAGATGGAAAGGAAGGAAGGAAGGAAGGAAGGAAGGAAGGAAGGAAGACACTGCTTGATGATGTTACCTAGTTGGGTCATGAAATGCTTGCAAGAAAACCACCAAGCTCAGAGAGCACCAAAGAGAAGGGAGGGAGGGAGGAAGGAAGGAAGAAGGAAGGGAAGGGAAGGGAAGGGAAGGGAAGGAAGGAAGGAAGGAAGGAAGACACTGCTGATGATGTTACCTAGTTGGGTCATGAAATGCTTGCAAGAAAACCACCAAGCTCAGAGAGCACCAAAGAGAAGGGAGGGAGGGAGGAAGGAAGGAAGAAGGAAGGGAAGGGAAGGGAAGGAAGGAAGGAAGGAAGGAAGGAAGGAAGGAAGGAAGGAAGACACTGCTGATGATGTTACCTAGTTGGGTCATGAAATGCTTGCAAGAAAACCACCAAGCTCAGAGAGCACCAAAGAGAAGGGAGGGAGGGAGGAAGGAAGGAAGAAGGAAGGGAAGAAGGGAAGGAAGGAAGGAAGGAAGGAAGGAAGGAAGGAAGGAAGGAAGGAAGGAAGGAAGGAAGGAAGGAAGGAAGACACTGCTGATGATGTTACCTAGTTGGGCATGAAATGCTTGCAAGAAAACCACCAAGCTCAGAGAGCACCAAAGACCAGGGAGGGAGGAAGGGAAGGATCACTGAGGATGTTCCCTAGTTGGGTCATGAAACGTCTGCAAGAAAACCACCAAGCTCAGAGAGCACTAAGGACCCCACAGTTCAACCCCAAGCTACAAAGATACTATCAGCTACTATTATTAGCTTTCCTGACCCTCCAGTTCCTTCGTAAGTGCTTGGCTGTCCCTTCACCCCCTTTCCTCGTTCCAGAACTTAGAAGAGCTGGATCTCAGCTTGAACCCCTTGGGTGACGGCAGCTCCCAGTCTCTGGCCTCGCTGGTCCAGGCTTGCCCTGTTTTGGGCACCCTTCGACTGCAAGCCTGCGGCCTTGGCACCACCTTCCTGGAGCCTCACTCTCTCCTGCTGGCCAACGCCTTGAAAGGTAGGAAGAAGGGACGGGAGGGGTGTTCAGGGACCCTTCTGGCTACCGAAAGAAAGACAAGGGGTGAAGGGGAGGTCTTCAGAACCCCGGGGTGGGGGGAGACTTAAAACCAGAAATATTTCTGCCAGAGAAATAGGACAAAGGGAACGTATACTTAATATTACATGTTTTGACAGCTGCGAGATCTGTATCTGCACAACATTGGACAAATGAGGAAACTCCTACAGATGAAAATATAATTTTAAAAAACATTAGATTGTGTGAAAATGGATAGGTTAACATTAAAGATAAAAGAGAAAGAAGATACAGAATATTTTTTAGCTTGGGATTTGTTTTACCAATGCCTAGATAATAACAGTAGAAATTAGAAGTTGGAAGAACACTGTTATATACATGTAAAGAAAATTATTATTACTATTATTATGTAGATGTAAATTGATTCAGACAATACACTGTTTATTAAGCACTCGTATATGTTAAAGAAAAATGTATAAATAATTTTAAAAAACAAACCAACTCAAGGGGTTTTGCTTGAGGATCGGGGGACAATGAGCCCCTCCCGAAGCTAAAAAGTCCAGCAATGGTGTGGCTCCAAAGTCTCTTGTTCTCCTACATGTGTGCTATGTTCTCACCTTCAAACATCTGGAGATGTTCCCCTCCTCCTGTTTCCTGGCAGGAGCCGTGCACCTCAAGAGACTCACTCTGTCCCACAATGCCCTGGGCTCCCGTGGCCTTGGGGTGCTGCTGAAAAACCTGCCCTTCGAATCGCTGACTCATCTGGAGATGGGCTCCCTGGAACCCAGGGCGGGGGACCGGCCACAACTGAGGGACGCCGTGGTCAGGTATCTGACGCAGGTTGGTGCTCTCTGATCGCCCGGGGGGGTGGGGGAGCGGCTGTCTGCGCTGTGGAATTTGGGGAATGGGGAGAAGATCAAACACACAGGACCCCCCCAGACTCAATTCTGAATCTTCTCGGGACAGGAAGGCTGCGTTCTGACCCACCTGGGACTCTCAGGGAATCACCTGGATGACGACGATGTATCAGAGGTAGCTAGGTAAGAAGGCTGCAGTTGCTCAGTTGTGGGTCTGAGGATGCAGAAGAAGGAAGTCTGGAGAAACAAGCAAACCCTGATATTCTTGGCTCAGAGACCCTGAATGGTCGCAGGGACCATCTCCCCAGGCTGTCTTGGGGGCAACTGTTCGGTTCTGCTACGCTTGTAGCCCTCCTTGTTGCCATCCAACAGGGGATGTTCTCTGCGCTTTTGGGTGGGAAAATGAGGGGGGTCAACCTATTTTCCAAAGCCCCTGAGGGCAGCAGAAGAAACAATGGATGGAAACTCATCAAGGGAGAGAAGCAACCTGGAATTGAGGAGAAACATCCTAACAATTAACCAGTGGAACAGCTTGCCACCAGAGGTTGTGGGTGCGCCATCACTGGAGGTTTTTAAGAAGAGACTGGGCAGTCACTTGTCTGAAATGATAGAGGTTCTCCTGCTTGAGCAGGGGGCTGGACTAGAAGACCTCCAAGGTCCCTTCCAACTCTGTTATTCTATTCTATTCTATTCTTCTATTCTATTCTATTCTATTCTATTCTATTCTATTCTATTCTATTCTCCATTCTATTATTTCTATTTCTGTCTCTGTTATTTCTACTTCTACTCTATTCTCTACAGCTGGAACCAAAAGCAAGCAAGTCCTCTTAGGTGGAAGGATTGGGGTCTCCTTCCCAGTGGGGCTGGACTTGTGGTTTCAGGCAGCTCTGCGGACCCCTCCTCTGTGCCAGGCCCTTGTCTGGAATGGTATAGGGCAGTGTTTTTGAACCGTCGGAACTTTAAGACAGGTGGACTTCAACTTCCCAATTCTGGGAATTGAAGTCCACCTGTCTTAAACTTGGGAAACCCTAGTATAGGGCTTCCTGCCAGAGAAGGGGGTTGGACTAGAAGACCTCCGAGGTCCCTTCCGATTCTGGTATTCAGTTAACTCACATCCACCACTCAAGAGGTTGTTCTCTCCGCAGGAGCCTCCTCGCTTGCCTGTCCTTAGTCTCGCTGGACCTGTCGGCAAACCCCGCCATCGGCATCCTTGGTCTCCGGACGCTGCTGGTCACCCTGGAGGAGCGGAAGCGGGGACTCCAGTTCCTTAGCCTGGCTGGTGAGCTCACCAGGGGTTTCTGCAGCCGTTGCCCCCCGAACCAGGGCATCCTGTCACTCTGCCCTATAGCTTAGTAGTGTAACACAATGGGTATCTCCAGCCTCTATCTACTCTGAGAAGCCTTTGGTGTTTCCTTGCAGACGTTTCATTACCATATTAGCTAACACCATCAGTGCTGGTAAGGAATGGGGTTTGTTCAAATCCCGTTCCTTACAAGCACTGATGGCGTTACCTGGTTTGGTAATGAAATGTCTGCAAGAAAATAACCAAGGCTCAGAGAGCACCCAGGACCCATTTCAACCCTGAGTTACAAATATTCTCTCTTATTTGTGTCCGTCCTTCACAAAAAGGAAGGAATAGGTCGGCCTGCTCCTCTTTCACAGCCCAGGTCCCAAATTCGCTTCCTTCTAGGAAGGATCCAAAGGAAATCATACAAATGTAATGAACAGATTCAGATCCATTTTTCCTCCGTTGCCAGTTGGCTTCTGGAGTTGCTCCACAATGGAGTAAGGATGCCACTGAAAGAAACTGGGCAACACTTTAACTACAAGTTTCCCATTTCTATCTGTTCATTTCAACAGTTTTGTCTCTCCAATGTTTTAACTGCGTGTTTCAACTTTCTGTGCTCAAGTGTTGTCCTGTTTGTAATTATTTTATTGTCCTATTTATGGCATTGCCCATTGCTCACTCGCTCGATAGTGAGACGGGCGATATATAAGAATATAAATAAATAAATTGAAGCTCCCTTTGCTGCTGAACGGGGAGAGCGGTGCCTGGGCTCGAGACAGGAGAAGCTGAGTTGCCGCTAACAGGCTTCCTCTCCCTCCCGATTTCCCTAGGCTGTTCTGTCCGTGGACCCCTGGAGACCGTCACGTGGACCAAGCTCTCCTCCCTGGTGGGTCAGCTGCAACTCTGCAGCCGGCAGCTAAGCAGGAGCGATCAGCGGGATGTGGCCGAGCTCTGGCACAGCCCGGCTAACACTTCCCTTCGTTCTGTCACCCGTCACCACAAACTTTTCTGCCAGAGTCTCTAGCAGAGGCAGTTTCTGAAGAGGTTGGGAGGTCGGTCGGTCGATGGAGGACCGAGGAGTCGGGGACACGAGTGGCTGCGTGCCCCATCCCAGGATGGATGAAACTCAGTGGAAAGAGTGGAATAGCTCAGCCGACTTCAGAGGAGATCCCGAGTTGTAGACGGGCTGTGGGTGACCGCCAACCCGGCTTGTGGAACTGAGAATTTTGGTGCCTGCAGAGAGAATTTGGGTGGGAGACAAAGCACCTCCTCCCTTCCGTGGACAAAGCTGCCATTTTTTAACTAACCATTCTTATCCTTCTGTCCTGCTTCAAACTGTCCCGTATTTATTGAATGGCTCTGCTTCTCTGGCAGGGGATGCAAGTAGAGCTGGGGAATGCTGCAGGCCCACCCCTCCACTTAAGCTTTGCAGGGGGAGAAGGGAGGGGAAACTTTATTTCTAACCTTGAGACGAGGAAGAGGGATGGTAATCTCTTGAATAAATCCAATATATGCCAGGTTTAACTGTAGAAAGATTTTATTTGCTTCAGACCCACAAAATTTTGCCTCTCTGAGGCGAAAGCAAAACCCAAATAAATACACGTAACCCCTCCCCCAAAATATGCTACTGTTCCCCAATTCAAGGCTGCAAAAGGAGGGGCTGGTCCACTGCCCCCCCACCCACCCCCAGAGTGAAAATAACTGCAATGCGGCCCACGCAGCGAGAGGAGTCCCCAAGGCTTCTCTCTCCAACGGAAGGGAAACGGGAGCCTTGGCGTTCAGGCGCCCGGCAGCCTTTGGAAACCGGGTGTGTCCGCGTAGTGGAGCCCTGAGGGCCCCCGTTGCATCTTCCCCTCTTGAGGGACGGGCACCTCCGGCCTGGCCGCTCTCGGCCTCACGAGTGCAGGAAGCGGTTGAAGGCGTTGTAGGCCGACTCCAGGTCGAAGAGCATTTGGCGGACCTGAGAATCATCCAGCTCGTCGGAAGCCGACATGCCGCTCAGGGTCTGCAGCCTAGAGAGAAACGGATCTCGGTCACAGGAGGAGGGGACCCTGCTTTGCCCACCCCGGCTCTCCTGGAGGAGGAGAAAAGACTAACGTTCAGTTAATACTGATGATGTTGTCTAGCTGGGTAATGAAAGGTCTGGGGGAAAAAAAACCCTGCTCAGAGAACGCCAAGGACCCCGCAGTTGTCATCTCCTCCTCCATGCAGCCAACCTCCTCCCTCTTTGCACTGATGATGCTACTTAGTTCGGTCATGAAACATCTGCAAGGAGACCACCCAGCTGGAAGAGCACCGAGGGTTACCCACAAGGAGATAAGAAACGGCTTTCGTTTCTGCACCTCCTGGGGCTTTGCTCAATCCCACCTCTGCAGCTCCACCTCCTCTTCCAACAGGATACAGGGGCAGAAGCTGGCAAGGGTGCCCTCCACACAAGTCTGTCTATTCGCCCAGAGCTCACCATTGGCTCACTTTCTGCCGCCCCTCAAAGTCCGGGGGCAAATGGCTCATGCGGTTCATGGTTTCCATCAACTCCCGCAGGTCTGGCTGGATCTGGGGAGGCAGAAGCAAAGAAGGCAGTCAGTCGTTTTCCTTGCTCCGTTTCTATTATTTCTTTGAGAGGGAGGGAGGGAAGATGGATGGATATTGGCGGGAGGGAGGGTGAGAGCCTTGAACCTGTGCAGAGATAACACTTTGCCAGCTACCTCCTGTTTGCCATCCTATCCCTGAATGTGGCTTCAGCGCAAGTGAGCCGCAGTTGGTTCAGAGGCCCCCCCACTCCCCCCCGAGGCCACCTGTGTGACCAAGAGCCCCTCTCCCCTTGCTCACCTCATCCATGGCCCGGATCTCCAAGCGCAGCTTGTCCATCACGGTGATGAAGAGCTGGGAGAGAGAGAGAGAGAGAGAAAGCCAACCAGCCCCGGTCAGAGAGCACGCCAGAGGCACCCTGCAGGAAGTGGCCCCCAGGTCAGTCATGGGCCTCCCCCCCACCAGTCCCCAAACCTACCGACACGATGTCTGCGATGCAACGGTTCAAGTTGCCCTTGTCGTCCTTGATGGTGATGGGCCGGTCCTCCTTGATCCTCTCCATGGCCAGCGGGCAGTCCAGCTGGGAGGAGAAAGGCGGCCACTTCTTATAGAGATCTCCCCCTCCCTTCAAAAGGGCCTCCCCCCTCTTCCTCTGCCACCAGACGGAGCACAGATGGCTCAGACGCTCCTGGTGCAACCACCCCCAAATCGGATTTCTTACCCGGAACCTGCGGCAGAAGTCATCGATGGAGTTGATCTCCAGTCCCTGCACCTGCTTGAAGGCGGCCTTGTACTGGACCAGGAGGCGGGAGCAGGCGGCCGTGTACCTGGAAGGAAGGGCCAAGATCCACAAGTGAGCGGAGGGGACGAAAGGTGAAGCTTTGCCCTGTCTGGTAGTGTCTGATTCGAAGGGACAATGCTTGTCTCCGTTTCTTAGCCGAGGGAGCCAGCATTGTCTGAAGGCAATTTCCATGATCGAGGGGCCAGCATGGCTAAACACTGAGGCACACGGAATGCTGTTCCCTTCCCACCAAAGTGGTGCCTATTTATCTACTCGCAGTGACATGCTTTCAAACTGCTAGGTGGGTAGGAGCTGAGGAGAGGATGGGAGCTCAACCATCACACAGTGCTCAGGTCTCAAACCCAGGCTGGCAGCTTTAACTGCTGAACCATCATGCCATTCCTTTCGGCAAAGAGGAGGGGTCTTTTATTCACTTAAAACATCGATTACAGCTGCCCATCTTTCAGTTAATTCTGGGCAGTCCCCAATTCAAGTTTCAAAAACATAAAATCACTTTAAAATTTTTAAAATACAACCAGTTAAACAAAATACGTATTTATTTATTTGTATGTATAGTCTTGTGCCTCCTTGGCAGTGCCTGGTGATAACTAAGTTTGTACAGGTAGTCCTCGACTTATAATTATTCGTTTAGTGGCCGTTTGAAATTACACCGTTCTGGAAAAAAAAATTATCATCATTTTTCGCACTTAGAACCATCATAGCAGCCGCAGGGCCATAAGATCAAAATTTGGATGCTTTATAATCACCACGTACAGGTAGCCCTCCGCTTACAAGTTCATTTAGTGATTGTCCAAAGTTACATCTTCACTGAAAAAAAGCGACTTATGACCATGTTTCACACTTATGACCATTGCAGCCTCACCATGGTCACCTGATCAAAATTCAGACACCAACTGACTCATATTTATGACGGTCGCAGTGTCCTGAGGTCATGTGATTCCCTTTTGTGATCTTCTGACAAGTCAACGGGGAAGCCGGATTCACTTAACAACCATGTGACTAACTAGACAACTGCAGTTGATTCACTGAATAACTGTGGCATGAAAGGTCGTAAAATGGGGCAAAATCCATGTAACAAATGTCTCACTTAGCAACAGAAACGCTGGGCTCAATTGTGGTCATAAGTCGAGGACTACCTGTATTGCTGCAGATGGAACAGGCTGACAAGAATCCATCCGGGATGCTGGAAGTATAAATGGTCCATAAAAAAGGGAGAAAATGGTTAATTTGACCATTTCCAAGTACCCTGAGCTGTTGGATGAATGTCAAAGACCAGATCTCACCCATCACATCCCACCCTGATCTCTGGAAGTCTCCAACCAAGGAAGACAGGATCACCATTCTCTGAGCAACGGACCTCTTCTCTACATTTTTTTCTTTCTTTCTTTCTTTCTTTCTTTTTCTTCTTTCTTTCTTCTTTCCTTCCTCCTTTCCTTTCCTTTCCTTTCCTTTCCTTCTTTCCTTTCCTTCCTCCTCCATATATTATGGTCTAGGGTCGCCTGCCTGAGCAGGGGGGGGTTGGACTAGAAGACCTCCAAGGTCCCATCCGACTCTGCCATTCTGTTACACTCGCCATGAGGACTTCGCACTTACTCATTGGGGTTGACACAGTCCTTGATGTAGGCCTTCTCCAGGGCCTGCATGGTCTTCACCACAGCAAACAGCTCAGCCATGTTGTCGTACCTGAAACCAAGAGGAGCAAATTGGGACCATTTTGGCTCTGCGAGGTTTGGCCTTCCAAAGTGGGACAGAGGCCCCTCCTTCGGCTGCTCTGCCCGCAGGATGCTGCCCCTCCCTGCCCCTCCCCCAGTTGCAAACATTGTGGCCAAATTAATTGCAGGCAGCCCTTTGACCTCCAGTGGCTTCCCATTCGGAGATGCCTACAAATCTGTGTAGAGCAGGAGTCTAAGACTGAATTCCCCAGCCAGCATGTGCTGTCTGGGGAATTCTGGGAACTGAAGTCCACAAAGTGGCCATCATGGTTAGAGCCTTCTGGCACAGGGGATCACTTCTGGAGGGGACCCAGAGTTACTGGATGGCAGGATGGGTGGCATCTCAAGTTAATAAGTAGAAGAAAGAAAGAAAGAATAGCAGTGGCACTTAGACTTATATAGTGCTCCACAGCCCTCTCTAAGAGGTTTACAGAGTCAGCAACAATCCGGGCCCTCATTTTACTGAGGAAGGAAGAAAATGTAAATGAATAAAAGAAAATATATAAGAAAGGAAGGGAGGGAGGGAGAAAGAGAAAGAGAAAGAAAGAGAAAAAGAAAGAAAGGGAAAGAAAGAGAAAGAAAGAGAAAGAAAGGAAGGAAGGTAAGGAAGGAGGGAGACAGGGAGGGAGAAAGACAAAGAAAAAGAAAGAGAGAGAGAAAAGAAAGAAAGGGAAAGAAAGAAAGGAAGGAAGGAAGGTAAGGAAGGAGGGAGACAGGGAGGGAGAAAGAGAAAGAGAAAGAGGGAGAAAGAGAAAGAGAAAGAGAAAGAAAGAAAAAGAGAAAGGAAAGAGAGGGAGGGAAAGTAAGGAAGGAGGGAGACAGGGAGGGGGAAAAAGAAAAAGAGGGAGAAAGAGAAAGAAAGAAAAAGAGAGAAAGGAAAGAGGGAGGAAGGTAAGGAAGGAGGGAGACAGGGAGGGAGAAAGAGATAAAGAGAGAAAAGAAAGGAAAGAGAAAGAAAGGAAAGAGGGAGGAAGGTAAGGAAGGAGGGAGACGGAGGGAGAAAGAGAAAGAAAGAGAAAAAGAAAGGAAAGAGAAAGAAAGAAAAAGAGAGAAAGGAAAGCGAGGGAAGGAGGAAGGAGGGAGGGAGACAGGGAGGGAGAAAGAGAAAGAAAGAGAGAAAGAAAAAGAAAGAGAGGAAGGAAGGAAATAAATGTAAATACAAAAGAGAAAAGGAAAGGATAAATATAAAGGAGAAAGACTCACTTCTCTCGTTCTCGGGCGTTTTTGTACAGCTTTACTTCCTGCAAGGAAAGGTAAGTTGAGGCTTCCACCCCACAACCTGCCCAGGCTCAGGGCTTTGGGGGGGGGGGGGCTACAGGAGACACCCCCCCCCACATAAAGCAGCTGGCAGCCCTGACACGGCCGGCCTTGAGTAGGGGGGGGGACAGGAGACCCTCCCCCCCCCACACACCCCCCCCTCCCCCCCCCCCCCCCGACTTGCCTCGTAGAGTTCCGGCTTGTTCCCGGGGGCTGAAAGCGGAAGGAGAGGAGAGTGAGGGTCGCCCCAGACCCTCGCCCAGGCCCCCCCCTCCCATATCTCCCCCTCCCCCCCTCGCGGCCTCACCTCCCATCCCGGCGTTGGCGGGGATCCCGTGGAACATCCTCCCTGCTCGGCCGATCGGCTGGCCGGGTCTGCCGCTTCCCTACTTCCGCCTCCTCCTCCTCCTCCGCTCGGCGCTCGATTGGACAAGGCGGGAGCTGCGCGCGCACCTCGGCCCGAGAGCTACGAAAGGGAAGAGCGGCGTGAGAGCTTCCGGGTATTTTTCTTTTCCCCCCCCCTCCTCCTCCGGCGGATAATGCCCCTCCCCTCTTGCGACGCTGCGTGGAATGAAGAGCCCCCCCACCCCCACGCCACGCCGCGAACACGGGACAAGCTGAGGCAACCCGGCCCCCACCGCTCTCGAGAAGGGCTCGGCTTCTATTTGGGGCCCCGTTGCCCGCAAGGCCAAGCCGGAAACGGCGGGCGAGGAAAGCGAGAGGAGGCGCGGAGGCCGAAGGAAAAAGCGGAGCCGCGTTTTCACTTCCCGGGGTGGGAGAAAAGCGGGGCCGGCTCTAACGGGAAACACCGGGGGGGGGAGGGGAGGGGAGAACGGCTGGTCTCCTACCCTCCCGTGGATCTCCGGCAGGTAGCCACGCCCACTTCCGGTTCTGCTACCATAGACGCTGGGAGGGGAGGGTAGAGCGGTCGGCTTCCGGCTGCTTGGCGCGGTGCATGTCGGGAAAGCGCGGGCTTTTCGTGAGGTGAATTGAGGAGAGCGTCGAGGCCTCGTTTCCCGCGCGTTTTTGCTGCCTTCTCCGAGGAGGCTCCGTGGGCTGCCGGAGCCCTCGGGGAAGGGCCGAGAGTGGCCTGGGCCGGCCTGGCTATCTCTCCGCGGCCTCACGGGCTCCTCGCAAGCGGGGAAGCGGCGGAACTGCGGTGGCTCTTCCTTCCCTTCGGGCGGACGGGGCTCCTCGAGCCCCTCGCGAGGCCTCAGCCGGCCTGATTGACCCCGCGTGGAAGGAGCGTTTGGGGTGAAGGGAGGGACGACGAAGCCCATCATCCGTGGCGGGCCGAATAAACCCCTTTGGCTTATTTATATACATGATATAAGTAGTAAATGAACCAGTTTTATGCCCCCGCCTGCCTGAGCAGTGAACTCTTGCTCTTCGGCCACAGATGGGCTTTGGCTTTCTCCCTTTTATTACTATTTAATAATATTTTATTATGTTTCTCTTAATATGCTCTTCATCTCAGCACAGGTAGTCCTCGACTTACGGCCACAACGGAGGCCAGAATTTCTGTTGTTAAGCAAGGTGGTCATTAAGTGAGTCACGCCTAATTTTTCCTGCCACAGCTGTTCTTGCAGCTGTTAAGTGAGTCATGTGGCCGTTAAACGAATCCAGCTTCAGAAGGAAGGTCCCAAATGGCGATCATGTGATCCCGGGATACAGCAACCTCATAAATACATCCCGGTTGCCAAGCACCCAAATTTTAATCGTGTGACCATGAGGATGCGGCATAGGTTATAAGGGTGAGGAGTCGCTTTTTTCCCCCAGTGCCATTGTAACCTCAAATGGCCACTAAACGAATGGTTGTAAGTCAAGGACTAACTGTCCGCTGCTTGTCTTGGGCGGCAGAGCTTGGCATTTGTTTGAATTGCGGGCTGGGGTTGTCTGAAAGCTGTGGGGTGGCAACAAACTATTACACACACACACACACACATGACACAGGCACACTCTTCTTCTTGGCCTGCCCCATGGTGGCGTTCTCTTTCCATGATTTCTAGATCAGGAGTGATGGAAGTTGTAGTCCAATGCCTCTGGTGGGTTTGGCACTGGGGCAAAGGGAACAAAAGAAGGTGCTGCTTTATACAAATTGTGGGGGGGGGTCTTTGAGGCTCACCGAGTTCACTCAGGTTGCCAGCAGTGGTTTCCCAGCAGGCTGAAAGAAAAATGAGGTTCAAGCATTTGGATGTAAAACTGGTATCATGTCCAAGGGGTCGGTGGGCATCTTTTCTTACGTCTGGAAACTGTATTATTAATTCCATTTTTTAATGGCAGGTCAAGGCCATGTGGAGCAGAATAGCAAGCCCCATGGGTGTGACTGGGACGGAATATATGACTCCCCCCCCCCCAACTTCCCACGTTGGGTATTTTTAAAAGAGGAACATGAAGCAACTTTGAAGACCTTTGCAGACTCTCAAAAAGGGGGAGCGGGGTCAGTGGGCAAGAGGGATGAGCAATTGCCAAAAGACAAATGCTTTGCTATCACTCGACTTAAATTGTTTGTCAATGATTTCCATTACCTAAATTATTATTAAATGTCAACAAAAATCTTAAGAGGAAAAAAATATTTTGTGATTCTTCCTTTATGTAAATTTTATTGCTTACAAGTGGATTTGCACAGTGTTCTTACATTTAACCGAACAGCTTGTTACAGAGTGTGCAGAAATCTATTGATCTACTGAAGCTTTGGTGAAATAGGCAATCCAGTTGTTAACGACAGTCCTCTGCAGTAGAGCAATTTTCATTTTTTGCGTTAAAACGCCAATGGAAAGCTATACATTCTTTCAAACGGAACAACTGAAATGCTAAGGAACAGGCTGGCCTGCCTAAAACTACCAGCAGGACTTTTGAGGGACAAAAACATTCGAACGACACCAACACGGCCACGAGCACAGGTGATCAATACGCAGGCCTTTGTATCGGGTGTTTTTGGAGCGCGAGGGGATTGTTACAGAATCAGCAACGTGGCTTCGTGGGCTTCCTGGACCACCGTCTACGTAGGAGGATGGCGCTTTTCCACACCAGCACAATGCACCACGCAAGGAGTGCCTTCAGACCCAGGAGGCAGCCTGTCCTCAAAATCTGACCACTTCCCTTTTTGCATGTTTCCCCCGCCCCGCTAGACGCTACACAAGAGCCACGAGAGTTGTGGAAATGTCGCAGTTCCACCGTGGAATACAACAACAAAAGATGGAGGCAGCCCAGCAGATGAGGCATGAAAGGCCAGGCGTCTGTTGCATGCAGAGCAGTGGGGGAAGCGGCTGGACGGACAGCAGGACCGGTCACAGACGGCATGGGGTGAACATGGCAGAGCATTTGGCCTTCCCTTCAGGGCTGGCGTGTAAGCAGCCACAGTTTGGAAAAAGACAGAGGGGCCTTCCCTTGGTTTTTTGCTCTTCGGGAAGACGCCCCTCGGATGACATCAGACGCCCATACAGCTTACCTTCCAAAACCAAAAAGGGGGAGCTAAGGGTGCCAAGGGAGGGGGGCGCTGCCTCTCGTCTGAGCAGGCCGGAGCAGCTGCAATCACAGGGGGATGCTGCACCAGAGAGGCGGTTTCGTCCTCCTCTAAGAGCTGTGATTGTGCCGTCAAACTGAAAAAGAGGCCTTGGTTACAGTGAGCACATTCAGAGTTCGGCTCTTTTAACAGGCTGGCCAAAAAATTAAAAAAATATATAAATTCCCTAGGACTTCTCCCCAATTCGTGTCCCCGGGCCAAACATATCAATCACCCCCCTCAGCAAGCTGGCAACTACAGTACATGTTAAATTGCCAAAGCTTGCCAGCTAAACATTTAAAGTCCACCCCGTTGTGCAATGGGTGCTAATGAAAAGGCATCAGAAAGTGGGGATATCTTGACCAGGAGGCCTCAAGGAGGGACATGGCAGTTGGCAGATGAAAAAGAAGGGAAGCAGTAAAAATTCTAAGTTGCCTAGGGGTGCCATCCATATTTTTTGTTTTTCAATTAATAAAATATCACTATCATCGCTATATTACAGAGAGAAATAGTTCATAGAATAACCAACTCTTCTATTACAATTTCAGAAATGTGTTTTGAAAAACCCTCTCATTTTAAAATGCCCTTAATGTCTTGTGCTATACGAAATATATATCATCTATATACCACTGTGCAGCAAAAATACACTTTTCCCCCAAAGTATGAGCTTTAGACTAGACATTTTTTTTTAAGATGAAAAAATACTGCAGGCTTTAAAGCTCAAAATGAGGCTTTTTTATCAGAACAGTGCATGTGACCACTATTTGCAGAAGCACAGAATTTTGAGAAAGCAAAACTAGGATTCAGATTAACTACTGTGGGCACATGCCAGTTCTTCAACGTGGCTTAGTATTTAGCATCATCCTTTAGTTAATGATAGCAAAGTGCCCACCTCATATTGTTTAAGGTGCTCAAGATTTACATTATGGAAAAGGTTTTGATGGGAAACGAGCCAGCCCAGAATTGGATAATTAGCATTGTCACTTCTGGACAAAGTGGAATGATAAACCTAAGCACGATCTTATTTCCAAACGGTAAAACCAGCTGCCCAAAAATAAATCGTCTTCTGCTTTTCATTTTTCTTCGCAACAGCTTCGAGAATAGCGTGCAATCCCAGCCTAACTGCCCTTCGTGTTCATGGCCGTTTTTGAAAACTCGATTAAATTGCGGCAAAGAGTGAAGAGAGCGAGGAACTCCTTCTGGGCTCTACACAGTGTGTGCTCTTAAGACTAAAATAATTCCCAGTAGAGGACCCTCAATACACACAAAGATCCGGAAACTTCATCTCATAGACGGGAACAGATTGGTAATGGGGGCAGCCGGCCGTGATGGTCAGGGTCCCCGAAGGACTGGGAGGGGGCCTGTAAAAAGAAAAGCCCCAGGGTTATTATACACAGCAGACTTTCAGCTGGACATTCTGCCTTTCGGGCTGGCTTGGGACCCCGAGTTTTTAATCAAGTCAGATCCAAAACCGTTTCAATTGAGGAAATGTATTTCTTCCTAAATTCTCATTTTTATTGTCTTCTGATGGCTACTGGAGACAGCTTGCAAACTAATAATACTTGAACAGTAAGAAATACATGGTGGGAAAGCAATTAAAGCCAACAGAGACTAACACAAACTCTGGTTAACCCAGCAATTGTCGCTGAGAATCAACTTGTCAGAACAAAATATTACAGGTAGTCCTCGCTTAATGACTACAGTTGGGACTGGTGACTCCATCACTAAGTGAAACACTTGTAAAGTGAAACATCCTGTGACTATGTTTGACTGACAAAGCTGCAGTTGTTAAATGAGCATGGTTTGTGACTTCCTGCTGGCTTCCCCAGTGACCGCTTGTCAGAAAGTTGCAAAGGTGACCACAGAATTCTGCAAACATTGTAAATTCACACCAGTTGCCAAGCGCCCAAATGTTGCAACAGTTGTAGAAAACCAGTCCTAAAGTCACTTTTTTTCAGTCCTCTTGTAACTTTGAACAGTCACTAAACGAACTGTTGTAAGTTGAGGACGTACCTGTATTGTCCTTGGGTCATCCCTGAACTTCCCACCCTTTCACCCCGTCACTCCCAAATTCCCATCCTCCAATTTTCCCAGCCAAAATCCAGCTAGTCCTTCGGCATTTCTCCTTACCGAATGGTGAGCTCCAGGATCTGAGCCAGTCGGTCATGGAGGAGGTTTGCCTGGAGAGAGAAAACAGATCGAGTGAGATCGGGTGACAGTCAAGGCGAGATTCCTTTCGGTGGGACAGCCTGCCTCTCAGAGTTGTGGGGGCTTCATTGCTGGAGGTCTTCAAGAATAGATTGGATAACTATCTATCAGGGATGGTATAAGGACTTGTGCTCTGGGCAGTGGGTTGGACTAGAAGACCTCCAATGTCCCCCTTCCAGCCTTAGGAGTCTGTTACTCTTAGAATTGTAATAATATAAGTCTAACAAAGAGAAGGACCAGGGGTGAGATGATAGCAGTCTTCCAATATTTGAGGGGCTGCCACAAAGGAGACGGAAGGGGATCGACTTAGTCTCCAAAGCCCCTGAGGGCAGGAGAAGAAGCAACGGATGGAAACCAATCAAGCAGAGAAGCAACCTGGAACTAAGGAGAAACTTCCCAACAGTGAAGACAATCCATCAGTGGAACTCCTTGCCTCCAGAAGTTGTGGGTGCTCCATCGCTGGAGATTTTTAAGAAGAGACTGGACAGCCACTTGTCTGGAATGGGGTAGGGTCTCCTGATTGAGTGGAGGGTTGGACTAGAAGACCTCCAAGGTCCCTTCCAACTCTGTTACTCCGTATCCTATTCTGTATTCTCTTCTTGAGATATCCTGGATTACCCCCCACTGAAGGCCCCTGATAAAGCTGGAAAAAATCCCCTCTGGCAGAAAAATGCTACAACACGGCCTCCCCAGGAGAAAAGGAAGTGGTTTTGGTTACCAACTACAATCCCTTTCCTACCGAATCGCCAAGCAGAAATCTTTCACAGGGAGTTTCTTACTCAGCCAGGGGTTTCAGTCTAGTAGCCCTACTCTGGATGCCAGTTCCCATCCATAAGAGGGACAGCAAAAGGGTCTGCCCCCTCCCTCACGCTCTGCCCACTCTTCTGCCGATCTCACAGGAATAAAACACGACAATGCAAAGTCTATTTTGCACCAGGTTGTTCCAGCCCTTGTAGGAGAAGGTGGCATCGTGAGCACTGCCAGCCGAGAAGAGAGACCCCATCTTAGCTCGTGATGTGGGGTCCTCACTCTCTAAGTAGACCCTCCAGCTGCCTTGCAAGGCTATCTGGGCATCACCAAGCAGGGGGCTTTTTGTAGAAAACGTTGCTTGTTCTGCTCGGCTCACCTTGGTCTCGCACTGTGCTGCGATCTCTTCAAAGGGAGCTTTCTGAAACTTCTCAATGACCAGGCGCCTTTTCTCCTTCTCCTGCTCTTCAAGGCCGGTGTTATCTTGGGAAGTTGATAATTTTTTAAAAAATGGAGAAAGAAAGAGAGAGCAAAGTAAAGGCCGTGTTCCCAAAACACATGATGAGATGGCTTCCCCAAACGCCCTTGGTTGAAGCACTCCCAGGGCCTGGGACACCATCTCAGCCTGGCTATGCCGGAAACCGCATGGGTCTCCTTGAGAGTAAAAGCATCGGTGGTCTGCCAAGGGGAGCTAGAGACCCCCCCAAGAATTCTGGGAGGTACAGAGATATTTAGCCTTCCATTGTATCTGAATAAATGGGCACTTCTGAGTTACTCACGTTAGGCACTAGGCTGCATTTTGCTACGCCGTGTGAAATAAATAAATAAAAGCTTACTGTGTCAGCGCTTCGACGCTGGCATAGAGAGCAGAAGGGAGAGAGAGATAAGCTCTGAACTTTTGCCTGCTAAATCCCTTTGAAGTCGGGTTGTCATGGAAATGAAGGGGGGGGAGACATTCCTGGGAAATGACGAGGAACAGAAGTCTGAAGAATGACTTGGAAGATAGCCAATGAGAAGCAGAGATTTGGGGATCGGAAAGGGAGGGATTGGTGGCAAAAGGTCAGTCTTGTCCGCATCGAGTCATGATCCGGTGGCTGTGCTCAGTTAAAGAAAAGATTTCCTTAAAGATTGGCAGTTTGGAAATTCATTTATTTTGAGATAGCATCGAAGTCTGACATACTGTATTTTTCAGAGTATAAGACGCACCTTTTTACCCCCCAATAGGGGTGAAAATCTGGGTGCGTCTTATACTCCGAATGTAGCCCCAGTCACCCGCTGCCCCCCCCCCTGGGAGGTTGTTGGCCTCTGTGTGTCTCATTTTCTGGCGGTTTCGGGCGGTGGGGATCCTCACATTGCCAAAAATGAGCCATGTTGCATGCTGGGAGATGGGTGGCGGGTGCTGCTTGGAACCTGCTGAAAACTGCCGCCGCCGCATTTTCATGAGGGCGTGCAGCTCTGCGAATTGCATGGGGGAATCGGGGAGGAAAACGCCAGAAGCGCGATACATGAGGCTATGCTCTTGCGAAGTGAGTGCTTCTGCGTGAGAGGCGTAAGGCAATGTGGCCTGCCCCTTCTCCAGACAACCCAGGCTGAGGGCGGCCAGCTTTTTCTCCTGGCCCGGGAGACGGGTCTAGCCAGGAGGGAAGAGAAAAGGAGGAGGAGGGTGCGTGGCTTTGTGAATTGCTTCGGGGAATTGGGGAGAAAAACGCCGGAAAACACGATGCATGGAGGCAATGCTTTTTTTCCTCCCTGAAACTTAAACTGATAAAAAGATCTGTGCTATGCATTATCAAAATCCAAATGGAAGTGAGGACACTGCTGATCCTGATGCTGGTAGGCAGAGGCAGAATTCTTTTTTTCTTGTTTTCCTCCCCCAAAATTAAGGTGCGTCTTATACTCCGAAAAATATGGTAATAAGTGAACAAAGAAAAGCTTGTTTTTAGTTGGAGAAATATTAGTTCAGACTCTTTAGTGAATGGACCTGATCCAGTTTGGAACCTAATTCGTCACATCATTAATATTAAGTGAGCTATTAAACGTGTAATCGTATTTTCTCACCCCTGATTGTCCCAAAGGTGTTTTTTCCAAAGGACAACTCGACTCTCTTGTTTTTTTTCCTCGAAAACGTTTCACTTCTCCTCCAAGAGTCCCTTGGGAGTTGGGCGGCATAGAAATGCGACAAAATAAATAAAATAAATAAGAAGCTCCTTCAGTTCTTCAGAATATACAACTATACTACTACAGAACTGAAGAAGCTTCCTGGAGGAGAAGCGAAACGTTTTCAAGGAAAAAAAACCAAGAGAATCAAGCTGTCTTTTGGAAAAAGCACAACTATGTGCTGGATGACTGAGAATCTCTAGAGATATTCCTGGTTGTTTAACTGAGGAGAAACAATCCATAGTAGTGAGGATTATGATTACATTATTGGGGGCAAAATCGCTGCTTGTTAAGAGTACGATAGAACAAGGAATGGGGGATAGGATACATATGTTACTATATAATATGATGTATTTTACCTATCGCCTTCTTCAGTGCTTCAAAGGTAATTTCCTCCATGCTGTTAACCTGGGGGAAGGAGGGGGGAGAGAAATATTTTGCTTAAATGCACCAACAATTGAACAAAAAGGAAAATAAAATAATTTTCTGTGGTTTAGCAAGAGGGAACGGCAAGGGGGAAACCATGAATTAAGCCACATAGAAGCCATTATTAGACGCTTGAGAGATGGAGCCTGCAAGGAGACTCAATATTTTTGAGTTGCAAAATCTGCCAGAAAATGTGGAGAAACAACCCAAAAACCAAGATGAGAAAGCTGGTTTGGGGAATGTCTGGAATCTGTTCTTTCTTTCAGAGGGGATGATATAAAAAGGGTTGGTTAAAAGGATATCCAAGCTTCTGCACTTGCCATGTTCATAGGTTGAATTGGTAAACAGTTACACATAATTGTACCTGGAGAGGTAATTTGGTGTAGTGGTGAGGGTGCTGGCCTAAAAACTAGGAGACTGGGAGTTCTAGTCTTGCCTTAGGCATGAAAGCCCTCTGAGTGACTTTGGGCCAATCACCAGGAGACACTGAGTTCTAGTCCCACCTTTGGCATGAAAGCATCTGGGTGACTTTGGCCAATTACTAGGAGACAGTGAGGTTCTAGTCCCACTTTAGGCATGAAAGTTGGCTGGATGACTTTGCGCCAATCAGCAGGAGAAAGTGAGTTCTAGTCCGGCCTTTAGCGTGAAAGCTGATGGGGTGACTTTCGCCAGGTGCAAATGGATGGAAGGATAGGTGCAACTAATAGGGTTAGGTGAGATCACTTAGGACAAGGCCCTCCAAACTTGGCAACTTTAAGACTTCTGGACTTCAGCTCCCAGAATTCTGGACATTGCATTCCCCCATTGAATTCTGGGAGTTGAAGTACATAAGTTGCCAAGTTTGGAGAGTCCTAGCCTTAAAGGGACGAGAAAGACGAAAAGCTTTTCTGAAGCTGCACATTGTCCATGATCAAACTTACCTTATCTTCTGCGCCGTTTCCAGGAAGGATGTCCACCTGAATGGACACGGTGTCCACGATACTCTTCCTTCGTGACAGCCTGTCCTCATCTGTATAGGTAACATCAGAAAAGTTCATATTTCTCATTGTGGGAGATATAAATTATAGCATACAATATATCACATCTGGTTAGTTAGGCATAGATGAATGGATGGATGGGTAGCTAGATAGCTAGATAGAAAGAAATAGATTGATGATAGAGATGGATGGATAGATAAGGTAGATAGATAGATAGATAGATAGATAGATAGATAGATAGATAGATAGATAGATATGATAGAGATAGTAGATGATATAGACAGATGAGAACAATGATAGATGATAGAGAGATATAGTAGATAGATAGGAATAGATTTTTTTTAAAATTTGATTTATATGCCGCCCTTCTCCGGAGACTCAGGGCGGCTTACAATGCGCTAAGCAACAGCCTTCATCCTTTTGTATATTTATACAAAGTCAGCTTATTGCCCCCACAAACTGGGTCCTCAATTTACCCACCTTAGAAAGGATGGAAGGTTGAGTCGACCTTGAGCCTTGGAGAGATTCAAACCTGCAGTAATTGCAGGCAGCTGGTCTTAATAACAGGGTGCTTTAGACCACTGTACTACCAAGGCTACCAAGATTGATGATAGAGAAGGATGGATGCAGATAGGTAAGATAGAAAGATAAATAGATGATAGAAATAGATTGATGATAGAGATGGATGGATGGAGAGAGATGATAAAGATGGATGGATAGAAATAGATGATAGAGAGATGGATGTATGGATAGATATAGATTGATGATAGAGATGGATGGATGAATAGATGATAGATACAGAGAGAAATGAGTGATGAGAGGTAGATAGATAGATAGATAGATAGATAGATAGGTAGATAGATAGATAGATAGATAGATAAACTGATTATAGGTTTCAGGAATTGGGAGAATGATGAAAACCTGTAGAGAGTGCAGATCAGTCCTTGAATTACGACCGGTCACCTAGTGACCATTCAAAGTTATGACAGTGGTACTTATGACCTGAATTTCAAGTTGTGCTGGTCACCACATCCCCCAGTCACATGACTGCACTCCAGTCCCACAGCAACCAGGCGCATTTATGGCCACAGATGCTAATTGTTGTAAAGTGTCTGCATAGTATATTATATTTCTTGGTCTGGTCTACTAAGAATAACAAAGTGGGAAGGGACCCTGTAGGCCATCAAGTCCAACTTAATGAAGCTGATTATAACAGACGGATGGTCAAACGGAGGTGGAGGTATGAGAACTGTGATCCAAAGGGCCACGGTGCTTCTGGTCATCCCCCTTTCCACCATTTATATGGTCTAGTGCAGGGGTCTCCAACCTTGGCCACTTTGAGCCCTGGGGGACTTCAATTCCCAGAATTCCCCAGCCAGCTTTGCTGGCTGGGGAACTCTGGGAGTTGAAGTCCGCCAAGGCTTAAAGTGGCCAAGGTTGGAGACCCCTAGTCTAGTGGGAAGGCAGAACAACTTGCTTCCTCTCAAAATGGCTGCAAAATCTGAAGGGACAGGTGTATAAAAGAGAAGCAAGGAGTCCCTGGCTGCCCTCTGGAACAGCCCCCAAGGTCTCTTCAAGAGGGCCACAAGGATGGGGGCCTTAAAGCTCCAGGAGAGCCAGGTGCTGTGGGAATTGCAGTTCAGCAACATCACTTCTCAGCCAAAAAATGGCCGATCGCGAAGGGAAGCGGTTTCATCCTCCCTATTCAACAATCCAGGTCCTCAAACCGAGCGGTTTCCTCTCCACAACTGTTGTGGCCAACAACTGCCACGAGTCACACATGCGTCCGCTGGAAAGACTAAATCTCACCTGTCACCTGGGGCACGTAAGGCACCGACAGCCTTTCCACGCTGTAGCCGCTGCCGCCTAAGGATTCCACAATCTTGTGAGTCAGGAAGAACAAGCTCTTGTCGTCCTTATCAAAGTTCAGGGGAATGCTGTAAAAAAAAAAAACCCAAAAAACTTTGTTCAAAATGAAAGGGAAAATCAATGAGATTATAAGTGGATCAACTGAACAATGGAACAGAGCTGGAAGGGACTTTGGAGGTCTTCTAGTCCAGCCCGCTGATCAAGCAGGAAACCCGTGATGGTGAACCCACAGGTGGCACATGGAATCCATGCATACGCACGCCGGCCAACTGATTTTCAGGCCTTCCAAGAAAGCCTCTGGAGCCTGGGGAGGGTGAAAAATGGGCCTACCGCCCCCCCCTCCCCGATGGGACGGCAAACAGGTTAGCCATCACTGCTAACCTGTTTGCAAATGGTTAGCCAATCTCTTTTTTAAAACCTCCAGAGATAAGAGCACCCACAACTTCTGGAGGGAAGCCCTTCCAATGATAAATCGTTCCTACTTATTGCCTTAACAATATCCTTCAAGTTTCCCCCTGAACTTTTCAAAGTTCTCCTTTCAGTCCTCTCAACTTCCTTCCTCTTGGCTGAAAGGGAATTGGGCTGAAATCTTTAATATCTTACCGTACTGAAATCTTGGTTGAGTTTTTTTTTTTTTTTTTTTTAATTGATAATATCCTACGAGGCCAATCCAATCGAACCTCAGTCTTAGCAAAAACGCTGCCGGTTCATCTCTTGGAATGTCATCGTAGAAACGAATCTGCTCTACTGCACCGCTGGGCTTCGAGCAATCCGTCCAGTGGGGAAAAGACATTTCTCAAGAAAAACGAATACAGGAAAAGAGAGCAGTAGAGGTGCTTCACTGCTGGAATGTCCCAAAGGGGCTTTTTTCCCAAAAAGTCAACTGGACTTTCTTATGTTTTTTTTTCCCTTTGAAAACATTTCACTTCTCATCCCAGAAGCTTCATCAGTTCATGAAGAACTGAATGATGAACTGAAGAAGCTTCTGGGATGAGAAGTGAAACATTTTCAAAGGAAAAAAAAAACCCAAGGAAGTCCAGCTGACTTTTGGAAAAGGCACCTTTGGGGGGGGGCACCACGGCCTGGGTGATCTCGGGGAATCCCCACAGCCGCTGCTGAAATGGCTCTGGGGCGATACTTAAGATTTGGTTTGGTTTTGGGCATCTTTTCCCCACCATTTCTGCAGAGGGTCCCCGTGGGATGTGTGGCATCATAGATCTAACGCATCATAAAAGGGCATTAACAATCTGCTCTTATCCTGTTTGCATTTTGATCAAATTCTTTTCTCCCTCATTTTCATCATTCGAAACAGGGAGAGGAAGTTTCAGTATGTATTATAGGTTGGGATCTTTCAGAGAAGAAATGTATCCTTGTAGGCTACGGAAGCACCCAAACTACCTGGGGACTTAAGGACTGGGCTTTGGCCATGAATATTCCCCCATTTCTAGGTTACTGATTGGGAGTGGGCTATAATGTTTAATTTCTGGGGGTCCTGGGTGATCTCTGTGCTGGATTGTTCTCTTGTCATTTTCTTGCAGATCAAGATGTTACCTCGTTGGGTCATAAAACATCCACAAGAAAAGAAGTTCAGAGACCACCAAAGACCCCACAGTCCTCCTCCTCCTGCTCTCCACAAACCCCACTAACACTGATGGTGTTACTTAGTTGGGTGATGAAACGTCTGCAAGAAGACAATCAAGAGAGCACCAAGAACCCCCCAGTCCTCCACTCTGTAAATCCCACGCCCTTCTAGCACCGAGGATGTGACCTACGGTAGCTGGGTATGTCAAACCACATAGTCAGGCTGTATTATTATTATTATTATCTTTCCCATTACTTATTCCTTTAGCATCTTATCATTATCATTTTGTTGTTTGTACCTTATGATTAATAGGGATTGCTTTTATTTAGTATCCTGTGACTATTACTGAGTGTTGTATCTTATGATTTATGATGATGGTATCTTATGATTACAATCATGACTTGATTGTATGTACACTGTACATACGATCACTTGTTGTTTGTATGTACACTGAGAGCTTCTGCACCAGTGACAAATTCCTTGTGTGTCCAATCACATCTGGCCAATAAAGAATCCCTCCTTTCTTTTTCCTTCCTTCCTTCCTCCCTCTCTCCCTTCCTTCCTTCCTCCCCTTTTTCCTTCCTTCCTTCCTCTTCCTTCTTCTCTCCCTCCCTTTTTCCTCCCTCCCTCCCTCCCACCCTTCCTTCCTCCCTCCCTCCCTTTTTCCTTCCTTCCTTCCCCTTCCTTCCTTCCTTCCTCCCTCCTTTCTTTTCCTTCTTTCCTCCCTCCTTTCTTTTCCTTCCTCCCTCCCTTTTTTCCTTCCTTCCTTCCTTCCTTTTCCTTCTTTCCTTCCTTTTCCTTCTTTCCTTCCTTCCTTCCTTCCTCCCTCCCTTTTTCTTTCTTCCCTCCCTCCCTTTTTCCTTCCTTCCTTCCTTCCTTCCTCCCTCCCTCCCTCCCTCCTTCCCTCCCTCCCTTCTTTCTTTCCTTCCTTCCTCTTTCCATATTCCATCCCATCCCATCCAACATCTGCAAGGAAGCCACCCGGCTCAGAGAGCGCCAAGGACCCCAAAGTTCAACGCTGAGTGACAAAGCTTCTCTTCCAAAGTTTATCAGCCAAACCCGAGACATTTACCTGGACTTATCTCGAAGGATGGTTTCCGGCAAAAAGTAGGGAGCTTCCACTGTTCTGGTTTCAATCACCTGCGGAAACAGTGGGAGCCAAAAGCCCCTTTCAGAGCCCTGGTTAACCGAGCGGGATGAAATCTCTGGCTCCCCATTTTTGCTGGCAGAGAACGTGAAGCTAAAGTGCCCCGCTGGCATATGCAGCTGGGTTGCCACCTCGAGGAGCCTGGCTTCCCACTGACTCTCCCTTGTTCCTGGAGCAGAGGGCTGGGTAAAATTCGGTGGGCCCTGAGCTCCGTGACTCCTTGATGAAGAAATTATCACGCCCAATGTGGGTGACGACCACACAGACGCCCTCCTGGGTGAGCTCTCAGAGGAGCGGATTACAGGGAGTCCTCGGCTTACGACCCACAAGGGAGCCCAGGATTTCTGGTGTTAAGTGAGTCATTTGTTAAGTGAGTTTTGCCCCACTTTTCTTGCCACTGTTGTTAAGTGAATCACTGCCGTTGTTAAAGTGGCTACCTTAACAAGGTAAGAAAGCACTTTTGGGACAACTGTGACCTGGAGGACTGAGAATCTCCATGGACCTCAAAAGGGTGACATGGTCCTTCTTTGGCGCACCCAAAATGGCTCACTACCTGCTGCGGGCCTCCCCTCCCCAAAATGTTTCAAGGAAGAAGGGCCCCAAATGGAATAAAGAGGGAAAAGGGAGAAACCACGATTTTGGCTACCCACCTTGCTGATGTGCTGGCAGAAGGCCGGGATGGCGATCATCTGGCTCAGGAAGTTGAGGTACGCGGCGACCAGCCCCATGATGCTGCACCGGTTGAACATCGAGAGGCTGTCCTCGTTAAGAATGGCGATGTCCTTCGGGAGGAGAAAAAGGAACAGAATCAAATACACCAAATATTTCCTTGGAAACCTTCCAGGCGGGCAGGTGTGAATCGTTGCCTGCATTTTATTTTTCTTTCATGGATGTTCCTCTACGCCCCTCATCACCTCCTAAGCAGGCTCTCCACCCCCCCCCCAAGCCTGGCCTTCCTCCCCCCACCTCTGAGGTACCTGCAGGGCGATGGCCAGGCGGATGAGGTCCAGTGACCACTTCTTCGTTGGCCAGCTCGATGGTGATCAGGGCCAGCGATGTGTAGAGCAGCTCAAAATTCTTGTGGACATTGTCGTCTTCTTTGCAACCCAAGTAGACGTGTCGGTACAGCTGCTGGGCATGCTGCTCCAGGACAGGAGGAGGGAAGGGGGCCCAAGGCAGCGGGAGGATGGGATGCGTGAATGCTAAAGACAGGGGATTTATGCTTCCTCCCACCTCCCCTCCTCTACTCCTTTCCTTCCTTCCTTCACTCCTTCCCATCCTATTTCCATTCCTCCCTCCTCTTCTTCCTTCCTTCCCACTCTGCCTCCATTCTTCCCACCCTCCCTCCCTTCCCACCCTGCCCCAATTCCTCCCCCCCTCCTTCCTTCCCTCCCTCCTTTCCTTCTTCCCTTTCTTCCTTCCTCTCTCCTTCCCTCCTCTTCTTCCTTGTCCTCCCTTTCCTTCCTTCCTCTCTCCTTGCGTCCTCTTCTCCCTTCTTCCTCCCTCTCTCCCTTCTTTCCTTCCTTCCTTCTCACCCTGTCTCCATTCCTCGCTTCTCATTCCCTCCCTCCCTCCCCACTTCCTTCCCTCCCTTCTTTCCTTCCTTCCTTCCTCCCTTTCCTTCCTTCCTCTCTCCTTCCCTCCTCTTCTCCCTTCTTCCTCCCTCTCTCCCTTCTTTCCTTCCTTCTCACCCTGTCTCCATTCCTCCCTTCTCATTCCTCCCTCCCACTTCCTTCCCCCTTCTTTCCTTCCTTCCTTCCTCCCTTTCCTTCCTTTTTTTTTTTTTTTAATTTGATTATATGCCGCCTTCTCCGGAGACTCAGGGCGGCTTACAATGCGTTCCTTCCTCTCTCCTTCCTTCTTCCTCCCTTTCCTTCCTTCCTCTCTCCTTCCCTCCTCTTCTCCCTTCTCCCTCTCTACCCCCAGGAATACGACTGATCCCGGACCTCCGTACTTTCCGCCGAGCGTTGAAGACCTTCTTATTTCAGCAAGCCGGGCTGTCTTAAAATTTTAATGGGCTATTTTATGGGTAAAGGGTTTCAAAATTTGGGGAAGCCAAACTGATCTAATTCTGTTTTAATTTATTTTAATTTTTATACTGTATATATTTTAATTTTGGCTGTTCACTGCCCTGAGTCCTTCAGGAGAAGGGCGGTATACAAATTTAATAAACCTAAACCTAAACCTTCTTTCCTTCCTTCCTTCTCACCCTGTCTCCATTCCTCCCTTCTCACTGACTCCCTCCCACTTCCTTCCCTCCCTCCTCTTTCCTTCCTTCCTCCTTTCCTTCCTTCCTCTCTCCTTCCTCCTCTTCTCCCTTCTTCCTCCCTCTCTCCCTCTTTCCTTCCTTCCTTCTCACCCTGTCTCCTTTCCTCCCTCCCTCCCTCCCTCTTCCTTCCCTCCTTTCTTTCCTCCCTCCCTTTTCTACAGCCACCCCCCATCTCAATCAATCACTTCGGGCAGCTTACAATTCCCAAAGTATAAAAACAATTAAAGCAATAAAATCATTCAAAAACAATTTTAAAATATGCCAAATAAATATACACAGCAGCCAAGATAATTTGTCCAGTTAGCAGTGAAGCCAGACAACGGGGCCCTGATGCCTTCGGGGCCCCAGTCTTGGGGGTCACAGCCAGGCTTTTTAAGCCTCACAAAAGTGTCCACAGGGCAGAATATTCCACCCAGGGGAACCACCCAGAGGAGTTTTACCTGCAAAGATCTCCACACGTGGCCACTTTAAGACTTTGTGGACTTCAACTCCCAGAATTCCCCAGCCAGCATGCACTGGCTGGGGAATTCTGGGAGTTGAAGTCCACAAAGTCTTCAAGTGGCCACATATGGAGAGCCCTGTTTTAGACTGAAATTGAATGTAAGTCTTCTTCATAAATTTACCTTCTTCATAAAGCTCACGTCTTGCCGGGAAATCTTGTCTCGCTTTATCTTCAGATCAGACACGTCCGGGATGATTCTAGAATGGGGGGAGGGGAGGGAAAGGGCTCGTCTCTTATGGGAACAAACAACAAGTGACAGCTACCACAAAACAACTTGCCATCAAGGAAACGCTGGGAGTGGAAACTCTTTGCAAACTACACGGGCTTTGCACCTTCCCGCAAAGCTTGCCTTGAATTGCCATCGGTTGTATGAAAGCCTTAGCCCGGGTTAGGCTTTGCTCATCAGGAGGTCGCAAAAGGGGATCAGGTGATCCCCGGGATACTGCGACCGTCATAAATACGAGTCAGTGGCCAAGAGGCTGAAGTTTAATCACGTGACCAGGGAGAGGCTGCAATGGTCGTAGGTCATCTAGTCCAACCCTCTACCCAAGCAGGAGGCCCTGCCTACACCATTTCTGAGAGATGACTGTCCAGTCTCTTCTTCAAAACTTCCAGTGATGAAGTACCCACAACTTCTATCTATCTATCTATCTATCTATCTATCTATCTATCTATCTATCTGAAGGCAACTTCTGTTCCATGGGTTGATTGTTCTCACTGTCAGAAAACTCCTCCTTATTTCCAGGTTGAATCTCTCCTTGTTCCATTTCCATCCATTATTCCTTGTCTGGCCTTCGGGAGCTTTGGAGAATAGCTTGACCCCCTTCCTCCTCTCTGGGGCAGCCCCTCAAATATAGTTCATTTCCCCGTTTCAGCTACCCAGAGGCCAGGACCATCCTTACCGTATCCCTCGAAGCTTTGCTCTGTTGTCGTGCCGGTCAATCAGGTTGTGTAGGATTTCCAAGACCAGCTGCCGCAGCTCGGAGTCCTCCATGAGGGAGGTGGACAGCAGAGGGTCCAGGAAAGGCGCTGAGAGGACCGAGGCGATACTCTTCGCGTTGTAGCCGGAGGTCACCTGCCAAGGAGTCCGACAAAAAACAAGGGGTCCCCAATTGCTCTTGAATAGGGACAGCGGGCAGCTGCTCAAACAGGCCAAAGGGCTACTCAAGGCATACTCCCAGGATTCAAAGATACAGGGAGTCCTTGTCTTACGACCACAATTGAGCCCAAGATTTCATCACTAAGCCAGACAGTTGTTAAGTGAATTTGGCCCCATTTTGTGACCTTTCTCACCACGGTCGTTAAACAAATCTGCCTTTCCCCATTGACTTTGCCCGGCCTAATTTTCGATATCTTTATTGATGGATTAGCCCTTGGGCCTTATCAAAGTGCAGAGTTCCAGAAACGAATTATTACTAAAATTTGAAAAAAAAAAAAAAAGCAATTTAAAATGAAGTTGAAATAAAATGCGATTTAAAATGAAGTTGGAATAAAACACAATCTAAAATGAAATTGGAATAAAAAATACAATAATTTGAGATATAGGTAAAATATGATAAAATTATATTTCGGTGCCACCCCTGCAATCTACCCCAATAAGCCCCACGTACGCCCTTTGCCTAGTCGCCAAAGGGGGAATCATGTGCCCCCTGGGTGCATTGCAACCGTCATGAGTCCATGCCAGTTGCCAAGCATCTCAATTTTGATCATATGACCATCGGGATGCTGCAACGGTCGTGTGAAAAAACGGACAAAAAGTCCATTTTTTCAGTGCCGTCGTAACTTCACTAAATGAATGGTTATAAGTTAAGGACTACCTGTACAACAACAGGAATCCTGACTGGCAGGGTTTTATTCACAGTACAGGGCTTTTCCCACCCATGCCTTCCAAAGGTTACCCTTGAAATCATCAGTTGCAGCCTGCAAGGTCAGGGGATGCTGGGAGCTGTAGTCCGTGAACAGGAAATTAACTTGATTGCGATCTGCTTTGATCCTCTAAACAGGCTCTCCAAACCTGGTAACTTTAAGATGGGTGGACTTCAACTCCCAGAATTCTTGTGGACTTCAACTTGTGGACTTCAACTCCCAGAATTCCCCAGCCATGCTGGCTGGGGAATTCTGGGAGTTGAAGTCCACAAGAATTCTGGGAGTTGAAGTCCACAAGTCTTAAAGTGGCCAAGGTTGGAGATCCCTGCTCTTAACAGGATGGAATCCTTGCTATTAGGGATTAGGGGAGAAGCCACCCCTGAAATCTCATCCAGACCTCCCAGGCCCAGAGTCCCTTCTTACCATCAGCAACGACCGCAGCAGCATGATTTGAATCCTCCTGGTTCCCAAATCCCTGCGAGAGCAGAAAGAGCAAAGAAAATATGATATCTGGGAAGAAAACAGGGGGGACAGTCCAGGGCTGCAGCTTGTCAATCAAGGCTGGGGCTGCCCGCAAAGGAAGCAGCATTCCTGGCTGGAAAACCATCCAGTGGGACAAGATGCCATTGATCTCGGGGCTCTTGACCTCACCGGCCCCTGCCTCTCTCTCTCTCTCTCCCCCCCACTCTGGAAAGTCTTTTTTAAAAAGTTATCCAAGACAGAATTTGCAGAAGCAAAATACGCCCAGAAGGGACCTGGTTTCAAAAGCCATCTGTTAATATTTCAGAGTGGGGAGGGGAGGGTGTTATAGAGATGTGGTGGGGCCCTTGGTGGTCTCTGAGCTTGGTTGTTTTACCAATCTCGGAAGGATGGAAGGCTGAGTCAACCCTGAGCCGGACAGGATCAAACTCCTGGCAGTGGACAGAGTCAGCCTGCAATACTGCACTCTAACCACTATGCTACCACGGCCCTTCCTTCCTTCCTTCCTTCCTTCCTTCCTTCCTTCCTTCCTTCTTTCCTGTTTCTTTCTTCCTTTCTTCCTTCCTTCTTTCCTTCCTGTTTCTTCCTTTCTTCCTTCCTTCCTTCCTTCCTTCCTGTTTCTTCCTTCCTTCTTTCTTTCCTTCTTTCCTTCCTTCCTTCTTTCCTTCCTTCCTTCCTGTTTCTTCCTTCCTTCCTTCCTTTCTTCCTTCTTTCCTTCCTGTTTCTTCCTTCCTTCCTGTTTCTTTCTTTCTTCCTTCCTTCCTGTTTCTTCCTTCCTTCCTTCCTTCCTTCCTTTCTGTTTCTTCCTTCCTGTTCCTTCCTCTATTCCCTTCCTCCTTCCCTCCCTCCTTTAGCACTTAGCAATAGCACTTATATACTGCTCAAAAAAATAAAGGGAACACAAGCAGAAGACATCCGAGATCAGAATGAATGAAATAGCCTTATTAAATACTTTGTTCTTTACATGCAGTAGTTTATACACTGCTCAAACAACTAAAGGGAACACAGAACTACTGTATGTAACGAACAAAGTATTTAATAAGGCTATTTCATTCATTCAGATCTCGGATGTCTTCTGCTTGTCTTCCCTTTATTTTTTTGAGCGGTGTACTTATATACCACTTCACAGTGCTTCACAGCCCTCTCCAAGCAATTTACAGACTCAGCTTATTGCCCCAACAATCTGGCTCCTCATTTTACCCACCTTGGAAGGCTGAGTCAACCTTGAGCCGGTCAAGATCAAACTCCTGGCAGTGGGCAGAGTTAGCCTGCAATACTGCATTCTAACCACTGGGCCACCAGGCCTCCTCCTATTATTAATACCAGATTGCAGAAAGACAAACAGAACAGAATTAGGAGACGAACCCAAGCTCGCTGGTGTCCATGGTGTGGGAGGTCACCCCAAAGACGGGGACTTTCCCCATGACGAACATCATGATCTCTGACCGCTGGTAGTCGGGCAAGTTGCTTCCGAAGAAACCTACGAGCAGAATGAAAAGCAAAGGGAGGATGAGACTCTTCCAGCTACTCCTAAGACAGAGAATAGCACTTAGACTTATATGCCACTTCACAGGGCCTTTACAGCCCTTTCCAAGCAGTTTACAGAGTCAGCCTCTTGCCTCCCCAACAATTTAGGTCCTCATTTTACTCACTTCGGAAGGACAGAAGGCTGAGTCAATCTTGAGCCAGTCAGGATCGAACTCCTGGCAGTGGGCAGAGCTAGCCTGCAATGCTGCATTCTAACTACTGCACCACCACCTATCTATCTTCCTTCCTTCCTTCTTGAGGGGGGGAGCTATTTCCCAAGGGGTGGGAAACTAATATTCTTGTAACATATAATGTAATGTACTGTTCAAGATCTTTTTGTTTTTTACCTATTCTTTTTTTAAGTTTTGTGTTTATATTTTAAATTTTTTTAATAAAATGAAAATTAGAAGGATGTGGGGGAAAAAAAAACCCCATGTTCCTCAACCTTGGCTGGGGAATTCTGGGAGTTGAAGTCCACCCATCGTAAAGCACGCATGGTTGAGAAACACTCCTTACAAAGCAGGAAATGAATGCAAGGCCAACCCAGGACCCTTCCTAGCTCCCCCTAAGTTGGAGTTACCCGCAAGAGCTACATTGCCTTAGAAACAGTTTTTTAAAATCCAAATAAGAAACTAGAACCTGACTTTCAATTATAACATGTATGCTTGATTTGCAAATAAATTGGAGATGCGAGTGATTCACTCTGTCAATCAATATTTTTGTCAATCAGAACAAAAAGTGGCCTGATTTTATGTTAGGAGAGGTGTATTCATAGTGGGGGTGCAGAAGGAATTGGGGGTGAGCTTTAAGGGGAAGGGGGAAGTGCTTGTGATGACCCAGGCCACGGCACTGAGATAACACAGGCAGTTCAAACCGCCCCTTTATTGCTCCAAATTTCCCCAAACGCTCCCCACGTTTCTGGCAAGTCCCAGAGCAAAGTGATCACACACACACCTCAAGCAGCCTCCGGCTGCAAACAGTCCAGCCCAATGCTGTGAGCACCATGGCTGCAAAGCAAGAAATCCAGAAAGAATGCAAGGAATCCAGGAACGTTCAAATGTCAGCACTCAACACTCCAAGAATTCAGCATTTGTTCCTGACGTCTCCTTAAGTCTGAGTCCCCAGGTGTGCCTTGTGAAGATTGGGTGGGGTGCTCCCCTCCCGAGTAGTTGGGTCAGCCTGAGCTGTTCTCGCCTTCTCTCCACTCTCCGTGTTCGAGGATCAGGAGGGGGCGGTCCTTGCTCATCACCTGAGCTCTGTCTCTCATGTTCACTGCTTAGCCTGTCTTGGGTCATCCTGCCCCACTTCCTCCCTGCCTTCAAGCAGTCCCAATCCTGAAAGACCCTGGTCTGACTCGACCTGCTCCTCCCCACATTACTCTGAAGCCAACAAAGCTGCCACCTCCATCTCCCGTATGCTCCAATTCCTGCTCGCCTGCCTCTGCAGATTCAGGCTCCAACGGGGACCTGACAATGCTGGACCCTGCACTGATCCCCTTCTTCGTAGACCAGAAACATTTCAAGGTTTGGACACCATTTGCAGAATCCTTGTGTCAGCCGTCACATTCGTCAGTTTGACTGAGTTATACAGCGGTCATAGAGAGGAAATACCAGAGGGGGTAGGGGAGGGACTCTTATTTTGCACCAAGGGGATGAAAAGGTACAAAAAGAAAAGAGGACACCAGGTGAGATTCCACCCCGGATACTGACCGATGGTCTGAATGATGGCGTTCTGGACTATGCGCTCGTCGTTGTCCTTAGAGGGGGCCGCGAGGGCAGCGTGGCCGTGATTGCCCCTCGTGTTGCCCAGTTCAAAATCCACACTCAGGCTCAGGTGCTTCAGCAGGGTGTTGAAAACCTCCAGGACGGTGGGTCCTGCCCAACGGAAGCGTGGTAAAAAAATATATATATTTATTTATTATTTATTTATTTATATCCTGCCTTTATTGCTTTTACAAGCAACTCAAAGTGACAAATCATATCCAACCCCTTTTCTTCTTTCCTATTTTCCCCACAACAACAACCTCCCTGTGAGGCGGGTTGGGCTGGGAGAGGGTGACTGGCCCGGAATCACCCAGCTGCCTTTCATGCCTAAGGCAGGACTAGAACTCACCATCTCCTGGTCATTGGCCCAAATCACTCAGATCACTTTTATGCCTACAGCGGGACTAGAACTCACCATCTCCTGGTCATTGGCCCAAATCACTCAGATCACTTTTTGCCTACAGCGGGACTAGAACTCACCATCTCCTGGTCATTGGCCCAAATCACTCAGATCACTTTTATGCCTACAGCGGGACTAGAACTCACCATCTCCTGGTCATTGGCCCAAAGTTACCCAGCTGGCTTCCATGCCTAAGGTGGAACTAGAATTTACCGTCTCCTGGCGATTGGCCCAAAGTCTAGTGGTTAAGGCACCAGGCAAGAAAGCAGGAGGCCATGAGTTCAAATCCAGCCTTAGGCCTGATAGCCAACTGGGTGACTTTGGGCCAATCACCAGGAGACGGTGAGTTCTAGTCTCACCTTAGGCGTGAAAGCCACCTGGGTGACTCTGGGCCAGTCCCTCTCTCTCTCTCTCAGCCCAACCCACCTCACTTCTTCGTAGCCAGCTTCCATGGCAAAGGAGGCACTAGAACTCACGGTCTCCCACTTTTTAGCCTTGCAGTTTTAACTCAAACCAAACAGAGGTCAGAGCCCCAAACCCCACTCCCTTCTAGCACTGATAATGTTCCCTACTTCGGTCATGAAACATCACCCCCCCCCAAAAAAAAACCCACACCAAACACAGAGAGCATCAAGGAAGCCACATGTCTATGGAGATTCTCATTCATCCAGGTCACAGTTGTCCCAAAGGGGCTTTTTCAAGAGGCAACTGGACTTTCTGGTTTTTTTTTCTTTGAAGACGTTTCACTTCTTATCCAAGAAGCTTCTTCAGTTCTGATGAGAAGGAAAATGTCTTCAAAGAAAAACCAGAAAGTCCAGTTGCCAATTGAAAAAAAGCACCTTTGGGAGAAAGAAGGTACAGTTCAACCCTCAACCACAAATATTCTCTTGGTACCCGTCAGTTTTCCTGGGAATGTCTTCTGACATTTTCCCAAGGCTAAGAGAGGAGGACCGGCCCAAGGTCACCCAGTGAATTTTGTGGAGGGGATTTCATCATTTCCCAAGCTTCTAATCTGGACAAGCCCAGGCAGTTCTCCATTTCCAGAGGTGCATCGGCCATCCACCCTGAAGCTGGCCTGAGTGAGGCCATTTTCTGAGCTTCAGTATTGCCACCCTGGAGCTGAGGGCTAGGGAGGGCAGAATAGAGATAGTTGGGGTTTGTAGCCAAAACAAAGTACTTTCTCTTGGGAACCAAGGTCATTCCCACAGGTGGTCGGAGAGAGGAGGAGCAAAGTTACCAGGCAACTGGAGGGCACAACTGATTGGACCACATGACTGATTGTTTGGGGAAGTGGGAAAAACTTTTACTTTTACTTAGGTGAAAACCGCGGGAATATTCAGAGTCGGTTTTCACCAGGACTGTGCCAATATGATATATCCAATCAACCAGTTCTTTGAGGAATCTACCTGCCTCGGAGTTCTATTTATTATGGGTGCATTACTTGGAACCCTGACATTGGCTTCTCGCTACAACTGAAAGAAAGCTGACTCACCCAAATGGCCTTTTTGCCTACGGCAGAACTCGCACTCGAGTCTTCCCATCCCAAGTTTGGCACTTTACTCACTAGACAAACCGGCTCGGTTAGCCACGAGCACCAAATCAAACATCTCTTTTTACGTCACGACGTGTTCACCTGACTCAATCCATCCCTGCCCAAATTCCTTATTATCAAACTTCTTAGTCTCCGCCTGGGAGAAAGTTTACTTGCTAGACTTGTTATGAACCCAAGACGGTTTTTCTAACTTTAGTAAGAAAAAGACGCTAGCAGTACCGAAGTAGAAAATACAGATGGTCCTCGATTTATATCGTTTAGTGCCCGTTCGAAGTTACAATGGCACTGAAAAAAAAAAAACTTATGATGGTTTTTCACACTTATGACTGTTGCACCATCCCTGTGGTTACGTGATCAAAATTCAGAGGCTTGGTGACTGACCCATATTTATGACGGTTGTGGTGTCCCGGAGTCAGGTGATTATGTGACTCCCTTTTCATAAGCAAAGTCAAGGGGGAAACTGTCAGTGTTTGCAGCGATCCAATCAGCACCCAAGTAAATAATTCAGCAGGATTCATTTATAGAAGAAACTTGTTTATATACAATAATACAAAGCATGATGCATGTATACAATACTCATGCAGCTCTTGCAACATGGTGACAAGGACAAGGACAACCAGAACTCAGAATCCAGAAGCACAGAAGCAATAGAATCTATAGTTCAAGGATAAACTAACTCTTATATACAGACCAGTTAAAATAAGCCATGGTCAGGCTCCCAAGCCATCTTCCCTGGCTCACAACAGATCCTGTTTCTTAGTCACCAAGCAGTTCCCATTGTTGGAATGGCAATCCCAGCTCTTAATTACACTGACAGAAACCAGATTCAGTTAACAACCACGTTGCCAGTCTAACAACAGCAGTGATTCACTTAACAACAACTTATTTAGCAATAAAAGTCATCAAAGCTCAACCAACGTCTTGCTCAGCAACCTAAATGTTCAGCTCTATTGTGGTCATAAGTCTAGGACAAACTTGTACAAACTACCAAACGGACACACAATTTGGGATGGTATTTGAAAAAGACAGGGCAAGGGAATGGTCAGATAAAAAGAGGATTTAGCTGCATAATGGATGGAGAAAGAGAAGCTTCTCAGACTGTAAAACAGACGGCGGGAGATTTGCACTCTCAAACCTGAAAGATTATGTTAACGTAGCCTTACAATAAAGTAGAGTTAGTTCATTTGGTCGTGTTTCCTGCCTGGTTTAAAAAAGCTCTAGGCTTTTTTAAAAGAAAAAAAGATAAAAGAAAATTAGGGCCACGAAAGAGCAACTTCACAACTGAGAATCCTTTTGCCGGCTCACTTTCCGTAGGCCAGTGTTTCTCCACCTTGGAAGCTTGAAGATGGGTGGACTTCAACTCCCAGAATCCCCCAGCCAGCAGCGCTGGCTGGGGGATTCTGGGAGTTGAAGTCCACCCATCTTCAAGCTTCCAAGGTGGAGAAACACTGCCATAGGTGATTTCTTGCAACAAGATAAATCCCAATTTAAAATGTCAACGGAGAATCTCGGTCAACCAGGTCCCGGTTGTCCCAAAGGTGTTTTTTTCAAGAGGCAACTGGACTTTCTGGTTTTCTTCTGAAGGCGTTTCGCTCCTCATCCAAGAAGCTTCTTCAGCTCTGGCTGGCTGGTGGATGATAGTCATCGACCGACTATCTGCAAGGAGTATCAATCCTTCCATCCTTCCCCACCATCCAGTCAGAGCTGAAGAAGCTTCTTGGATGAGAAGCGAAACATCTTCAAAAGGAAAAAACCAGAAAGTCTTGAAAAAAAAAGCCCCTTTGGGACCCAATTAAAAATGTTCCATGGAATAGTTAAAAGAGGAGAAGAACGTGAAATAATTCATACTTTAGAACCAGTTCTAATTTTTAAATAAAAGAAAGAACAAGGGAGGAAAACAACAACAACAACTGGGATTAGCAAGTACATTTTCTGCCTTATCTAAGCAGGATAAAATAACCTTTTCCTCCGGGGCAAATCCTCACCATCTGGATCTTCCCTCTTGGCTTCCTGGCACCGTCTGCCATCCTGGGGTGCCATTTATGGCCCAATTCTGTTTTCTATCGACACCCCACGCTTCTTCCTTTGCTCCCAATGGCTGTCCTTCTCAATTCGGGTTCCTGCCGCCTCTCGACTGCCAGAAGTCAGCTAAGGCAAGCCAGAAGATCCCGGATCTCATCCCCAGCTCAATTATCCCTAATTAGCCTTTAATAATATGGTCCACATTCTTGCTTACTCAAGTGGTTCCCGTCTCAATCCCACGACAGAGTAATTTTAGCACCCAAAACCCCGTGGGGAGGATCATTTTATACTGGGAGGAACAGCAGAGTCCTCAGCTTACGGCCACCATTAAGCCTAACCGTCAGTGGTGGGTTCCTCCCGGTTCGGTCCAGTTCGGCCGAGCCGGTAGCGGTGACGATATGACATCACCAAACAGGTTCTCCCCCCCCCCGCCCACCCACATTATTCTTACCTTTTATTTGGTCCCACCCCCAATCTATTGCTGCCTCCTGAGTCCCAGCTGATGACTAGAGGGAAAAAAACTGTTTAAACTCTTGCCGCGGGGCTTCAAAGGGCCGCCCTACAGCTGATCTGTGTTAAAAGCAAACAAATGAGTTGGGTCGTAAGTGCGAGGACTGGTCGTAAGTGTGAGGACCTTCCAGAAATGATTGACCAGCTAGCCACGCCCACCTAGTCACATGACTCCAAGCCACACCCACAAAATAAGCCACACCCACAGAACCGGTAGTAAAAAAAATTAGAACCCACCCCTGCTAACAGTTCTGTTGCTAAGTGAGAATTTTAACCCATTTTACGATCTTTCTTGCCACCGTTGTTAAGCGAAATCACTGCAGTTTTCAATTTGGTGTGAAGTCCATCTGGCTTGCCCATTTGTCAGGAGGTCACAAAAGGGGATCCCTTGACCCCAGGACCGTCATAAATGTGAGACAGATGTAAAGCATCTGTATCTAAATCACTTGACCACAGGGATGCTGCGACCGACATCAATGTGAGTCAGTTGTCCAGCGTCTGAATTTTGATCACATGGCTGTGGGGGAACGCTGCAACGGTCGTAAGTGTGAAAAATGGTCATAAGTCTCTTTTTTTCAGTGCCGTTGTAACTTTGGTCGCTAAATGAACTGTTGTAAGTTGAGGACTACCTGTAGATAGTCTTCAACTTGCGACCATAAGTGAGCCCAACTTTTCCACTGTTAAGCAAGACAGTTGTTAAATGAATCATGCGGTCATTAAGTGAATCCGGCTTCCCCTGTTCACTTTGCTAGTGAGAAGCCACCTGGGAAGGTCACACAAGTGGTGAGCCCAGGACAGTGCAACCATCGTACAGGTAGTCCTCACCTTATGACCTTATGAACATGAAATTTCTGTTGCTAAGCAAGACAGTTAAGTGAGTTTGGCCCCATTTTACGACTTTTCCTGCCACAAGGAATTTTTCACATACGATCACAAGTTGGTAGTTTATACAGGTAGTCCTTGACCACAACTGAGCCCAAAATTTAGGTTTCTAAGCAAGACATTTGTTGATCTCCAAGGTCCCTTCCTACTCTACTCTACTCTACTCTACTCTACTCCATTCTTGCCACAGTTGTGATTTAACCTGGTTAGGTGAATCCGGCTTCCCCCGTTGACTTTGCTTGTCAGAAGGTGATCACATGACCCCAGGACAATGCAACCGTCATAAATATGAGTCCCTTGCCAATTTTGATCATGGGACCCTGGGGATGCTACAACAGTCGTAAATGTAAAAAACGGTCATAAGTCACTTTTTTTCAGTGCCGTTGTAACTGAAAAGTCAAACCGTCACTAAACGAATGGTTGTAAGTCAAGGACTACCTATCCACTGGAAGAAGCCACATGTTTGACTTCCACATTCCTAACAACCAACCAGCCCTTTGAATCCCTCTCTCAAAACTGCAACGCCAGCCGGGCCGGACGGATCTGATTGGACTCACCGATGGATCCCTTGGCCGCGATGGCCACCGCCTCCAGCAGGACTTGGATGATCCCAGCTCGAACGCGGGGAGAGTCTCGCTTGCAGCTGTCCAGGTGTGCCAGGATCTCCTGTATCACGTGGTGCGAGTATTGGGCCTTGGAAGGAAACGGGGGGAAAAGGACACAACATTGGCACCACTTCCAAGGTAGTAGTCTAGTCACAGTTCTCCCCCACTCCAGGGAAGGCAAATGAAATTTTTGGCGCCTCCGAGTCCAAATGAGAAACGGGAACCAAAGAACAGGTTTGGGGCATCCCGAAAAACGAAGAGGAACAGCTGGAAAGTCAAAGGAATAATGACTAAAACAGTGTTGGTCAACCTTGGAGACTTGAAGATGGGTGGACTTCAACTCCCAGAATTCCCCAGCCAGCAATGCTGGCTGGGGAATTCTGGGAGTTGAAGTCCACCCATCTTCAAGCTTCCAAGGTTGACCAACACTGCTTTAAAGACTCACAACCGCAACTGAGCCCATCATTTCACTAAACGAACAGTCGTTCGAAATGTTCTTAAGAGAGGAATAAAATACTTTATGTTGATTGTTAAATGTGAGTTAAAAGAAACATTGACTTGATTTGAGTCTTTGAAGCAGGGTGGATAAAAATCAATTATTTTTTAAAAAAATCAAAAAAATCAGATTTTTTTTATTTAAATCGGATTTTTTTTATTTAAATCGGATTTTTTTGATTTTTATCAAATTTATTTTAATAAAAAACTTTTGGGGTAAAACTCTATCGTAAGATAGTTTTCTATTTAAGATACATAAATAATTTAGTTTATTCAGCATGAAATGGAGCTTAGTTATGTAGCAGGAGGCTGTATATTCTGCAACACTGGGACTATCGGTGAGTCAACAGTGGGTCAAAGGAGTAGCAGAGATGACAGTTGCTCTTTAAAAATTATGATTTAAATCGAGCTGATTTAAATCAAGTCTTTTTACTAGTGATTTAAATCATGATTTAAATCGTGATTTAAATCGACTCGTTTTAAATCAAATCCACCCTGCTTTGAAGTAAGGAAAATCTATGAAATACTGATTGTTAAAATGATAAATGAATATTATAAAGAGCTGTTTAGATTTGAAGTTTAAGATTTAGGGTGATTACATAGTAAAATATTAAATGTTAGAATAAGACGTTAGATTGAATGATAAAAATTGGGTTTAGATTTGTTCTTTTTTTCTTTTTTTTCCCTTTTAAGATGTTAACGGATGAAATTTGGAATTTAGACTTATTTTATACCGGATCAAACACTTGCTCTAAAAAGATGCTGTTTTATGTTTAAAAAGAAATTTAAAAAATTTCCAAAAAAAAAAAAGAAAGAATGCAGCAAGTAGGAAAGCTTTCAACTTCTGCCCTAAAACGAAATTTCAGGCTTCAAGTTGGCTGAACGTACACACGCACACACATTAAAGATGACGTTAGCCAAAAGAAAAATTTCACACTGATGAAAAGGCTCTCTGCTTCCGATAATATATAAAAAGCACACCTGGCTGCAAAGAAGGTCTTACCTGGGTTTGAACAGGGCAGACTTACCTGGATGGAGTACATGATGACCTTAAAGCAATGGACGGCAAATTCATTTGGGTCCCAGAGTTTGTGATGGCCTAAATGTCTGTTAAAAACAAATGATTTGTCTGTCAGTGCTACGGTGCGCACTGATGACGTTACTTAGTTGGGTTACGAAACGTCTGTAAGAAAACAAGCTCAGAGAGCACCAAGGACCCTCAGTCTCCTCCCCCTTCCTCTTCCTCCTCCTCCTCCTCCCAAACTCCACCCCCTTCTAGCACTGATGATGTTGCCTAGTGTGGGTCATGAAACATCTGCAAGAAAACAGCCAAGCCCAGAGAGCAACAAGGACCCTACACTGTCCTTCCATGTCTTTCCATGTTGACTCCAGAGGGAAAGTTAAGCAGTGAGGTGCGAAGCTGTACTACTCCACACTGCTTTTAGTTCTTTCTATGAGCCAGTTGTCAGGTTTCGAGGTCGTCTCAAATAAATTGCATTTCAAACAAAGTCTTTGAAGGAAAACTCCTATTTATTAAGCACGACATTCTAAAATCCGACTCCATCGAAGCCAACACTGACTTCCAGACCCAAAACCCTCCCTTTCCGTTCCCCACTCCCCTGCACTCATTGGCCATCTTCCAAGTCATTCTACCCCTAATCTACTGCTCCAGCTCAAAGGAATTTCCCCCCTCCCATCCCATCTCCTAGGGGATATTATCTCCAGGGAAATAAGTAGGTGAAAAGTCAAACGTCCCTTTCCAGACGCCTCCACTTCTCCTCCTTATGTCAGCACTAGAGTAAATGCAGCTTGAAGTGCTGACACCAGTCCAGTTTCCAAACATGGATCGACAAAGAATGAAGCAGAAATCAGAATGGCTCAGAGGAGCCTTTGTGTCAGGAGCCGCAGCTGTCCTGCCCCACTTATCTCTTACTCCTAGCAAAACCCCAAAGATTCTGGAGGATCCCACTTACGCGAAGACCGGCCTGACGGCGTTGCTCATGTTCCCATAGGTCGCACGGCCCAGCAGTTCTCGGAAGCAGTTCTCGGCCAAGACAGCAGGATTCTCCTCTTTCTCACCTGATGGAGAGGCTGGTGGTCCAATTCGACTGGAAGGAAAGGAGACACTGCTGGGACAGGAATGCCAAGCCTGGCAGGGATGCTGAGGGCCACCAGCACTCCCAGAGGAGACATCTGGCTCCCCTGAGCTTCTTTCCTTCTCAGCTGCTCCTTGCTCATGGCTGCTGCCTCTTTGTTAACCAGGGAAACCTCACCCAGTGCTCAACATTGGTCACCATAGGTCAAAAGAGGTTAACATTGGCCAACAGTGATCATCATTGGTCAACAAAGATCAACCAAAATCAACATTGGTCAATGAAGGGCAACAGAGGTCAACCAAAGTCAATAGTGATCAACCAAGGTCAACAGTGGTAAACATTGGTCAATTGAGATGAAGAGAGTTAAACAGTGGTCAACATTAGTCAACAGTGATCAAAAGAGGTCAACAGTGGTCAATATTGATCAACTGAGGTCATCATTGGTCAACGAAGATCAAACAAAATCAACATTGGTCAATGAAGTGCAACAGAGGTCTACCAAGGTCAATAGGGATCAACCAAGTTCAACAGTAGTGAATATTGGTCAATTGAGATGAAGAGAATTCAACATTGGTCAACATTAGTCAACAGTAGTCAACAGAGGTCTACAGTGGTCAGTATTGGTGAACCGAGGTCAACCAAGGTCAACAGTGGTCAACAGAAGTCATGATTAATCAACATTGGTCAACTGAGATCAACCAAGGTCAAGGGGAAGCTCAAAAGAGGAAGAAGTCACACCCTTCCTCAAGGCAGACATACCCATCAGGGTCTTCTGTCTTCTGCATGTTGAAAAGCAGGGAGGGGACGATCTTGTCCATGTGCTGAGGCTCCCAGATGGTGGCCCGCAGCTCATCATTTACAGTCTTCCGCACAACTCCCTGGATGCCCCTGATGCCAGCGATCCGGATCCTTGTGGGAAGAGGCAGAAATGTCAGATAACTCAAGGGAAGGGGTGAATGTGAGACAATTGCCCTACAAGTCCTATTTCCAAATTAAATCCTTCTGTGCAGACAGACAGGGCGGGGTCTAATGAAGTGATGTGGGGATGACGGACATGCCTACAGAAGTCAGCACATTGGCTGCTCCTCTTCCTTACTGGCCCTCTTCCTTTTTATTGCTCAAGCTGCCATTTACAGAATCCAAACTAACAGGGTTGGAAGGGACATTGGAGGTCTTCTAGTCCAACCCCCTGCTCAAAGAGGAGCCCAAATGGTTGTCCAATCTTTTCTTAAAGAGCTGTGGTGGCTCAGTGGTTAGAATGCAGTATTGTAGGCTAACTTTGCTCACATTGCCAGGAGTTCAAATCCCTCAATCCTGACCGGCTCAAGACTGATTCGGCCTTCTCTGCTTCCGAGGTCAGTAAAATGAGGACCCAGATTGTTGGGGCAAGAGGCTGTCCCTGTAAACCGCTTAGAGGGGGCTGTGAAGCACTATGAAGTGGCATATAAGTCTTAAGTGCTATTGTGATTGCTAAAAACTTCCAGTGATGGAGCACCCACAACTTCTGGTGGCAAGCTGTTCCACTGATTAATTGTTCTCACTGTCAGGAAGTTTCTCCTTAGTTCCATGTTGCGTCTCTCCTTGATTAGTTTTCATCCATTGCTTCTTGTCCTGCCTTCAGGTGCTTTGGAGAATAGCTTGACTCCCTCCTCTCTGTGGCAGCCCCTCAAATATTAGAAAACTGCTATCGTGTCCCCCCTAGTCTTTCTTTTCACCAAACTAGACCTACCCAGTTCATGGATTTAGCAGTACACTGAGAGCGTATGCACCAAAGACAAATTCCTTGTGTGTCCAATCACACTTGGTCAATAAAAAATTCTATTCTATTCTATTCTATTCTATTCTATTCTATTCTATTCTATTCTATTCTATTCTATTCTATTCTATTTTATTCTATTCTATTCTATTCTATTCTATTCTATTCTATTCTATTCTAATCTTTTTCAGCTTCAGGTTTTGAAGCTGAGGAACGGCTCCAGTGCAAACTAGATGCATTGTAATGTCAGGGACTGTGGTGGAATGTGGTCTGGATTCCCGGGAAAGAGGGAGAGGCTGCATTCCAGAGGACCAAGAGTCAGTGAAGTTTAGATCATATGGTTGAGAGGAAGAGAGTTAAGAAAGTTCGTCCCTAGAAGTTCTCAAGGTATACCTTCGATGATGCAAATAGTTTGCTTTAGTTTGGCAAGATTCTGTCTAGTGGCAAGGAATTAATAAAGTAAACTGCTAACAAGAGACACTGCATGACTTTCTTAATCTTTGGGCCAGACATGGATCCTGCCCAGCCCCTTCCTCTTTGCTCCCCACCGGTGGCAATGGGAGGAAGAGTATTAAAGACAGCTCCTCCCTAGAAATTTTCAGGATGTATCTTTGATTATGCAAAGAGTCTGCTTTAATTCGGCAAGATTCTGTCTACAGGTGAGGAACAATAAAGAAACCTGCTAAGAGACTCTTCAAAAAGAAGATAAAATTTACTCCACAGTTCTTTTTGTTAGGTATAATTACAGATTGTACGGTCATAGAGACTAAATTGATTTTAAATTTAATAACAGCAGCCAGACTTTTGGTGGCACAGTATTGGAAGAAGGAAGACTTATCTACTATTGAAGAATGGACATTAAAAGTAGTGAATTTAGCAGAGATGGCAAAAATTTCGGCATACTTGAAGGACCACTCAAATGAAAGATATATCGGAACGGAGAAGATGGATTGACTATATTCAAAACAAATATCGGACTAAAACGTTTCAAATAGCCTATGAATGAAACCAACTTTTTCTTTTTGAATTATGTTTTGTTAGTTGAAAGGGGAGTTAAAGAGCAAGAGGGAGTTTGGAGACTACAGAAAGTTAGCATATTTTAGTTTATGTTTGTTAAATGTTATACCCTGTATTTGCTCTGGGAAGTCCGGGGTGGGTGGGGAGGAGAGGGGGGTTGGAGGGAGAGGGGGGAGGAGGGAAGGGGGGGAGGAGGGATGGGAAAAAATTGTTGTAATACTGGATAAAACTTTTTAATTAAAAAAAAAGAGAGAGACTCTGCGTGTCTTTCTTAGTCTTTGCGCCCTGCCCAGCCCTTTCCACTGGGCTCTCCACTGGTGGCAACAAGAGGGGGATTCCTGTTGAGGGGCTACATCTTTCCCACACTATTTTCCTAGACTTGTCCTGCATATGGCACTGGTGAATTTCCGCTTATTAAAATATAGTGTATGTAATGAATTGCTCCGTTGCGTTTTTGTGCAGCTTGAAGCTGTCTCAAAGTGCTGAGCCACTTCTAGCAGGGTTTTTGTGAGGAAAAGGCACACAAAGTTCACTGCCCATCATTGTAAAGTGCTTCCCCACCCCCCCACCCCGCATCGTTTGTGATGACCAGAGGCACTGGGCAAAAAAAACCCGAACAGCTCCTTGATGTGCTCTGAAATTAGCACATGCGGAAAAAATGTGCTCAGATGACCTTAAAATGCCACAGGGGGCGTGATGGCTCAGTGGTTAAAGACACTGAGCTTGTCGGCTAGAAAGACTTGAGACCAATGATGAAATCCAAATTTTGTTACTGCCGGTTCTGGGGCCAGCCAGAGGTGGTATTTGCCGGTTCTCCGAACTGCTCAAAATTTCCGCTACCAGTTCTCCAGAACCTGTCAGAACCTGCTGGATTTCACCCCTGCCTGAGACCAGAGTGCTGTGTGATGGGGTGAGCTCCCGTTCCTTGCTCCAGCTCCTGCCCATCTAGCAGTTCGAAAGCATGCAGATGTGAGTAGATAAATAGGTACCATTTCGGTGGGAAAGTAACAGCATTCCATGTGCCTTTAGCATATAGTCATGCTGGCCACATGACCACAGAAATGTCTTTGGACAACACTGGCTCCCTCGGCCAAGAAACAGAGATGAGCAGTGCCCCCTAGGACACGACTAGACAGGGAAAAGCTTTATCTTTACTTTTAGAGACTGTCACAACTGTTCCTTCCATCACTGTCGATTTCAGAAAAGGCAAGCAGAGCCATATACCTCTGTGTATTAAGAATTCACTTGTGTAAGTGGTTAGTAGTATCAGGTTTCTGGGTGTGCAGCTAACGAGTAGGCTGCCTTGGCTGCTCAACAGTGAAACCCTCCTAGAAGCGGGCACACCAGCGCCTGGATTTTCTGCGCCGCATGAGAAAAGTACATCTTCCTCCCGCTGTCCTTACCACTTTCTATAATCGAGAGCATCCTGTCATATGATCACTGTCTGGTTTGGAAGCATTACTGCTTCAGACAGGAAGGTGGTGCAGAGAGTGGTGAGGACAGCAAAAATTATTGGAAGTTCACTTCCTCCTATTCAGGACGTGGCATATAAACTATATAGAGATATAAAGAGATAGAGATAGAGATAGAGATAGATAGATATATTTATTTATTTATTTATTTATTTATTAATGGAACTTGTATGCCGCCCTATCGCTAATGGATTCAGGGCGGCTCACAACAATTAAAACAAAGCAAACAAACCATTAAAACAAAAAATATATAGATATAGATATGGATATAGTGTGTGTTCATGGAAAAAAGCGACCCTAAAGTTTATCTTATCTTAGAAAATGGAGCAACACCGTGTTTGGCTGAGAGTCAGTGGAGAAGATTCTTGGTTCGCTAACTTAAGAAACAATCGGAAAGCTCACACTCACACTCACTCTCACACACACAACCGCATACACAAGTGCACACAACTTACTCGTTCCGTATTTCCGGATCGTCGTGGCAGGAGTGGCACATGGCACTGAAGCGGGACACGAAGAAGTCGTAGCGGCGATGATAGGAAGGCGTATCTTCCTCAATGTTTGCAAACTTGACAAACTGCAGGAAGGGGAAAGGAGGCGTCCGGACGCAAGATTAGGAACAGAGCAATGATGAGCTCTGAAAAAGCACAGCCGGTCCCCGGCTTATGACCACGACGGAGCCCAAAATTTCCGCCTCCAAGCCAGACAGGCGTTCAGTGAGTTTTGCCCCATTTTACAACCTTTCTTGCCACCGTTACTAAGTGAATCACTGCAGTTGTTAAGTGAGTAATGCTTAAGGGAAGTTAAGGCAGTGTTTCTCAACCTTGGCTGCTGGACGATGTGTGGACTTCAACTCCCAGAAGTTGAAGTCCACACATCGTCCAGCGGCCAAGGTTGAGAAACACAGAGTTAAGGGAATCCGGCTTTCTCTCTTTCGGTCAGCTGAACAAAAGCAGAGTCAGGGAATCCTTGACTTACAAGAGTTCATTTAATGACCATTCAAAGTTACAATGGCGAACTCAAGCGATTTAGGAATGTTTTTCACACTTACGACCAGTCACAGGACCAAAATTCAGACGCTCGGCAACTGACTCATACTTACGACCGTAGCAGCGTCCCAGGGGACCATGTGATCCCCTTTCGTGACCAGACTCACTTAACGACTGTGTGGCTACCTTAATTGCACTGATCCACTTAACAACCATGGCAAGTAAGATGGTAAATTGGGGGGGCAAAACCCGTTTAACCCGTGTCTCACTTAGCGACAGACATTTTGGCCTCAACGGTGGTCGTAAATCGAGGACTATCTGTACACTGGGGGAGAAGTATTTGAAGAAAGGCTGCTGCCGCCCCGTTCTGCCTTTCCCCTGCGGCCTGTTTCTCCCGGTTCCTCCGACGCTGATGGAGGCATCCCCGGATCGAAGCCCCTTTTAGGAAAAGCGGAGTGCTGACTTACGGAGTTGGTTCCCAGGACTTGTAATTCGGGGTCTCCGGACTCCAGCAGTTTGGCCACCATGTGCAGGAAGCTCTCCACGAAGGGCTTGATGCTCTGCGAGTGGCAGGCCATGAGCAGCTGGTCCAGGGCCTCCATTGCAATGAAGACATACCTGGGCGGCAGGAGAGGAGAGGAGGGAGAGGCTCAGCGGAGGATCTCCTCTGCACCCGTCTTTGCACCCTGGCCAAGCAAGGGCCTCTTCCACCGGGCCTGCCGGTGGCTCACTTTGTGCCAGAAGGATAGATGCCCCTTTTACAAAAGTGGTCCCAAAAGATAAGGAGGAAAGGAGATATTTCTCCCCCACCCCCCTCAAAAGTCTAATTTCTTCTCTGGCAGGGGGTTGGACTAGAAGACCTCCAAGGGCCCTTTCAGCCCTATGTTTCTATGACTCTATGACCTTGGGGTTGGATTAGAGGATCTCTAAGGTCTCTTCCGGTCCTATGTTTCTACGATCTTGGGCAAAGGGATAGACTAGAAGATCTCCAAGGACCCTTCCCCTTCTACGTTTCAATGATCTTGGGTAAGGGGTTGGACTAGAGGATCTCTAAGGTCCCTTCCGGTCCTAGGTTTCTATGACTCTATGATCTTGGGGTTGGACTAGAGGATCTCTAAGGTCCCTTCCGGTCCTATGTTTCTATGATCTTGGGCAAGGGGTTGGACTGGTCCAGGGGTCTCCAACCTTGGCCACTTGAAGACTTGTGGACTTCAACTCCCAGAATTCACAGCAAAGCTGGCTGGGGAATTCTGGGAGTTGAAGTCCACCCATCTTCAAGTGGTCAAGATTGAGAGATGTGGCTCTAGAACAGGGGTCTCCAACCTTGGCAACTTGAAGACTTGTGGACTTCAACTCCCAGAATTCACAGCAAAGCTGGCTGAGGAATTCTGGGAGTTGAAGTCCACAAGTCTTCAAGTGGCCAAGGTTGGAGACCCCTGGATTAGAAGACCTCCATGGTCCCTTCAGGACTTAGAATTCTAGGAGCTTTCCAGCACATATTGGTGCTGAAACACACATACACACACACACACACACACACCCCAGGAAGGAGGTCAAGAGTCCCACTTTGAGAAAGGGAGCCAAGAAGCCCCGAGCCTTCTCACCCGTAGCGATGGCGGATGACATCCCGGCTCAGCCTTTCCGCCAAGTAGGCGCCAATCCGATCCAGCTTCTCTGGGGCAGAGACCGCGTAGAAGGTCAGCTTCTCCATGTCCGATTTGACCAGGCCATCCTGGGCAGCCAAGAGGACATACGGGTTGGTCAAGTAGCGATGCGGAGCTTTCCCCTTGACCGCTCCCTTTTGGAGGAGCGGCCTCAACACCCCACCCCACCCCACCCCTAAAAGGGGTGGCCAAGGCAGGGGCGGTCAGTCTGGGACCGCTTCAAATAGGATCTTTGGCAACCCCAGAGAGAGAAGGCAGCAGGAGGAGAATAAAGAAATAGACAAAAGGAACAGAAATAACCTTGAGACTCCTGGAGGTTTTTAAAAAGGGAGGGAGGGGAGGAGGAAGGAAGAGGGGAAGGGGAAGAGAGGAGGGGAAGGAAAGAAGGAAGGAAGGAAGGAAGGAAGGAAGGAAGGAAGGAAGGAAGGAAGGAAGGAAGGAGGGAGGGAAGGAAGGAAGGAAGGAAGGAAGGGAGGGAGGAAGGAAGGATGATGGATGGGAGGTAGGGAAGGAAGGAAGGAAGGAAGGAAGAAGGAAGGAAGGAAGAGGAAGGGAAGGAAGGAAGGAAGGAGGGAGGAGAGAAGGAAGGAAAGAAGGAGGAAGGAAGGAGAGAGGGAGGAAGGAAGGAAGGAGGGAGAAGGGAGGAAGGAAGGAGAGAGGGAGGAAGGAGGGAGGAAGGGAGGGAGAGAAGGAAGGAAGGAAGGAGAGAGGGAGGAAGGAGAGGGAGAGGAGAAGGAAGGAAGGAGAGGAGAGGAAGGAGGGAGGGAGGGAGGGAGAGAAGGAAGGAAGGAAGGAGAGAGGGAGGAAGGAGGGAGAGAGGGAGGAAGGAGGGAGGGAGAGAGAGAAGGAAGGAAGGAGGGAGAGAAGGAAGGAAGGAGGGAGAGAAGGATGGAAGGAAGGAAGGAAGGAGGGAGGGAGAGAAGGAAGGAAGGAAGGAAGGAAGGAGAGAGGGAGGAAAGGAGGGAGCCTTGCTTAGGTGTGCCACCTGTTCTAAAGAACCCTTCAAGGCTAACCACAGAGGAATGGAAAGGCAAAGGCAGTTGTATAGCTGGCCACAAGTCACCTGGCCTTTAAAAAGAAAACTGCAATTCCCAGCAGCCACAGCTCCCGCAAGAGGGGCCAAAGGGCCCAAGTCCTCCCAACGCAGAGGCTCAGCCAAGGTGAGCAGCCCACGCAGGGAATCAACCTGCCAAGCGCTCGTCTTGCCCAAAAGAAACTGGCAGGCAGGTCTCTGCCGATGCCCAGGTGCTTCCAGGCCACCTCCCAACCGCCTAGCGACCGAGCCGCAGATCAGGAGCTGCCGGGAGAGTCCCACCCCCCACTTACTTTGGGGTCCTCGGGGAAGATGTTGTCCACCAGGCGCTTGTATCGCGGGCGCAGGGCGGCGCAGCAGCAGCAGACTCCTGCGGGAAACACGGGCGGTGAGAAGGGGGGCTGGCGGGGAAAGAGATCCGCGTTGGCGAAGGAGGCGGTTCCGTCTGCAACCCCGGAGAAGAGCTTTGCTCTCTTTGCAAGTTTACAGGGTGCAGAAAGGGGGGCCCCTGCTTGGCATCTCCCCACAAGTGTCCTCAAGTCACTTTCAGAAAACCACGAAATGGCATTTGGGCCACTATTTGGGGTTGCAACTGGTTTACGGTGGGAAAGAGCTGCAGCTGAAGAGAGGGATTGATTGATTGATTGATTGATTGATTTTCTCTTTGTATACAATAAATGCTTAGTGAACAGCGTACTGTCTGGGTCAGTTGGTTTACACAACAATATTAAACTGCTAATTTTTCTACCTCTATTGTCCAAGCATTGATAAAACGGGTCCCAAGTT